TGAAAATTTTGCTCCATAGATCATAAAAACAACTATAAATCGTATATTAAAATTTTGCTGCTCACCAAAAGACATAACAAGGATTCTTTAAAGGAATACGTGCTAGACCTATGGGTCAGGAACTTATGAACTGAACTGCTGAGTCTATATATTTTGAGGACTGGATATCGATTGCCAAAGGGCTTCTAAGCCACCTAATTCGAATTACAAATATACTCCGTTGAAATTCTTCTCTAACACATTCCCGCTTCAAAGAGCTTCAGCACAGGCATATAGCTTTATATTTTGGAACTCAATACGATTACATTTAAACTAAACATGTAATAATTATTCCACTAAACGCACATTTTGGTCTTAAAGCAATACTGGTAATTATTTAAAGAAGCAACTATTTTGACTCAGGACTAAAATCAATTAGACATGTATGTATGACTTCGTATTTTTGGTATCAGATCTCACACTATTGGTTTTTGTAGTGTGTCTGAATTGAATTTAAATCAAGTCTAAAATAAATGCCAACATTCTGAAATAAAGATGTCTGAGATGGACAAGATTTCTCTACTAATTATAAGCCTATCTAAGCTGATTGAGCATAACATTCCTGATCGGTTATTTCTATTCTTTGTAATATTTATTCATTTAATACACTCTTCGCAGTAGAGCACTTTCGTTTCTGAAGCTGCTTTTGTAGAAGCCGAGTTCTGCAGACGTTGAGGCAACGTATTAGAGTAGGATCGCTGGCTAAGACAAGCCATAACTTGTAGTTCAGATAAACTCTTCTGAATTGTCACCAACTTCACTTTTAAATAAAAGAGAAAATCCTGTTAAAGCGGTAGTCGTCTCTTGGCCCAACCCTATCAGATCCTGTTAAAACGATAGTCGTCTCTTGGCCCAACCCTATCAGCTGACCTCACCACGATTTCAACCGACTTTTTGTTAGGCAGCTGTGCTCCTTTTAATTAATAAATCGATCTACTATATGCCGACTGGGTCTACACACCCGCTTAGATTTTGTGTGTCTAGACTAGTCGCTAATCTGCAAACAAGTCAACTCTTTGGCATAAATGGGCAGCTTGTAATCACTTCCGCGAATCGCATAATTGTGCCAATTTCTCGGCACAATTGTGGCACTTTCTCTCTGATATGGACGAGCTGACTGACCTGTACAGCCGACTGACCCTTTCGACACCGCAGCCAAGTGCAAATCCTTGCCCGGACAATGGCCACAGAATGAAGAACAAGTAGCTGCGAATTAGCAATCCTATCATGCTTTTATGGCTGGCCAACTCTTCTTCTACTCTTTCGCGCGAATGCCGCACTCAGGCAGAGAGCAGGCAGGCTAAACGGGCATCTAGAGGCTGTTTTGCATACCCCTTCCATGCGGGTGCCCTACGCCGATAATCCTTCTAAATGTTTGCATTAATTTCGAGGCGTAAACGGATTAGGGCGTTGGTCCAGGGCGTTACCCGCAGCAGAAGCCGAAACCGCCGACGCGGCCGCCGGTCGTCCGTTCGTTCGCCGGCTTGGGAATGGAAGGTGAGCGCGTTTCCATGCTTAATTGCCCTTTAAAAAGCGCAAATCACGCGCCTCCCTGCACTGACCTGCTCCGCTCTGCTTTGGCATTGCACCGACTTTCGGCGGAAGATATCAACGCCCGCCTGTTGTCCTGTTGACCCTCTAATCCTTTCGTATTTGCGCTGACTTTTGGACAAAGTCCGCGCCTAATCCGCTCGCGAAAGGCTTAAAGTGTTCGGGTCGGGTCGGCGAAGGGGGGGGAGGGAGGCGAACTATTGCCGGCAGGCTAACAGGATTACTGCCGATTACTCCAGATGATCCGTAAAAGTCAATCTCAATCTGCTACGTGGCTAATTGCAGTAGCCAACTTGAAAACTCCCAGCCAGCCTGTTTATTTGTTTGTTTGTTTTCGTTTGCGTTTGTTTTGAGAATTTCTGGCAATTAAGTTTCGGGATTTGTTGCGCTCTGATCGGCTCAGCTGAAGCGTTGCAAACAAATTCCGTTAAATGCAAAAACATTGGAGTGCGGGGGCGTGTGAAGCAAATGCCTGTACCTGTCGCTAACCATTCTTCCATTCTCTTTTTTCCCGCCCGAAGGTCGCAAAGTCAAGGAGTCAAGGAGTCAAGACATCAGTCGTAATGTTCGTTTTTTTACTCAGAACTTTTCGTGCTAAAAATCGCACAGATTATGCGCGGATTATGCGTTGATTGCGCACGATTATGGAAGGATGCCTGGAAGGAAATTGTAGACAAAAGTGCGTATATATGGCCGTTTTTTTTACGATTCGCGCTAAATCCTTTCTCAACGGGTACAAAACCCCGCAAAACGTCCTTCGGGTGCATCGGCAACATTGCATCGCCTACTTGCGTAAAATTTCATAACCCTACGTTATTCGTGGAAAGGCATCCTTTTTACCTCTTGCCAATCCGTTGGCTAAAAAATAAAGTAAAAAACGCTTAACCCAACTTCCGCGCCTTCAGCACTTCGGCGGAACATGAATCGCAAACAATTGCCACAGGTAAAGAAATATGTGTACAGACAAATATTTCGCAAAAAAAAACACGCAATATGCTTTAAAAAAAGTCGAGTCGAGTCGAGTCGCGACAATGCCTGCTTATATAATGGGGTTATATGACATGACATTATGAAAACAGCGGACGGCAATGAAAGGCTGGTGCTTGTCTCTTTTTTCTGCATTATTCGCTTGCTTGTTCATTTCAAAAAAAAAAGCAGTTATGTGTTTATAAAAAATAGTCGAAATGAAGAAGCCATTTTGTTTAGTACCTGCGTTGTGAGGCGCATCTGACAATTTGATTTTCTCTAAAAATCGGCGTTAATTACTCACAAGCCATTGCCGGCAATTATAAACAACTGCGCAGATGTGCGTTCAGGCGTGGATTGCATTGAATTTAAAATTTGTAGAAAGGGGGGTAAACGGCTTACAAAACAAAACCGAAGCACACCAAAACCAGTGCGTGGGTGATAAATGTGCGTGATTTCGAATGAATGCGCATCGATTAAAACCGCAGAGGCAATCAATTTGCGCCTTTTACACCAAATTGGCTCGTACGCAGCCAATTAATGTCAGCAGACAACAACAACAGCAACAATAACAACGCATCAGCGACCGTTAGGGTGCAAAACAATTACAACAAAGCACCCTCGCCCTCGCCCTCACCCTCACTCCAATCCATGCCGCTCCATTTCATGCCATTGCTCCGACACCCACGCTCAGGGGCATAGCCAGCGTCTCATTTGGAGGGGGTTGGAGAGAACGGCTTATATTTTATAGTTTTTGAAGCAAAAAATATATAATGAGAAGCAGTGCAGGCTGGCTTTTTTCCTTAATACTTTATGCTGCCTAATGTTTGTAATAAATAAAAAATAATATGGTAACAATATAAAGTTCCCGCATCAATTTACCATTTTCTTGGGAACAGCAAAAGTGCCTATCAGCCGCACAATTATAGGTGCTATATATATCGCATTGTAAACACTGTAATATATATATTTGTGGCTATGAAAATATTTCTGGGTAAGCGCTGAAACCATCAAATAAGTTTCTTATGCGTGCCTATGGTACTATACGTTTAATATGGACGCATTTTAAAAAGAATTTCATATCGAATTCTAATTCGAAACTTAAATAAACTTTAAAATTGCAAAGAGAGAAATTTTAGCAAGGAATTATAATAATCACACATTCTGTTCAGTTTTTTTTTTTTCATCCATAATATTTAACGTCTTTGAAAACTCATCTTAAATTCTGCTGAAATTCAAAAAAGAATTGCAAACAACATTTTAGGCTATTACTGGTGAATTTAACTTTTCAGACAATAATCGAGGACGTCGAGTAATATTAAAAAAAAATGATAAAAGTTGAGCTGCATTTTAAATTTTGTAACGGGCAGAAGGGTGTTTGAACTGCCTATATTATTGTACCTCTTCGCCACGCCCATGTCCACCACGCTGCTGGCATTCCGCACGATAAACTTCTAATAAAGTCAAATTGAGCGTTTTTGCGCACTGGGCGTCTAATTGCCGTTAACTCGTCTGGTAGGGGCTCTCCCTACCTCCCTTTACCGTTAGTGGAGGGAAAGTAAATGAGTGGTGGTCGCGTTTGATTAAACGCATAAACTGCCTGCCGTTGCAAAGGTAAAGGCAATACGATGTTGCTGTTGCAAACAAAATTGTAGGTTACACTGGTATTATGCATCATACACCGCAATGAATAAGTGCCTATAATTGTGACTTTAAAGAGATATCGTCGACGGCCATTTTTATGAACAGCCACGAAAATAAACAAAAACCACCACCAAACTCTCTCATAAAAAATATGCCTGACGTTTTGGAGTCTGTTGACTTGCGCTCTCGCGCGCAGGCGCTCTCTCTCTCTGTGGCTCAGAGAGTTGAACATGCGACCCACTGATTGGCTAACGTGTAGCTCCATTTTGGATGCCGACACGCCCAAAACTCAGCTGCTGCTGCTGCTGCTGCGTCTGATGGTGTTGCTGGCTCTGCTGGCGCCGCTGCTGCCTTTGCTGCTGCTGCGGCACATTATGGAACGTAATGAAGTTGAGTTAAAGCTAATAAAGTAAAGCGAAATAAAATGCTGCCATAATTGGCATCGTTTATGCTGAAACCATGAATACTAAAAAGTTGAAGTGTATTTTAAATGCACGGCTAATAACTAGCAGACATTCAAACCAAACCAAAACAAACAAATCATTGGGGCTTTTAAATTGAACTAAAATGTTCTCAAAATTAACCAATTCAGGCATCAGATAAATACTTCTTTAGTTAATCCTTTAAATGAATTTCGTTGACTTCACACTACACTTCATTCGTAAATGTGTGTTTTAAATCAATACGTTACGTTTTTGCTTACGTTTTAGTACAGTTGTTTGTTTTGTAACAGCGAGCTTTTGACCGTGTAAGATTTGACAAGGTGGCCACACTTTAATAAAACGCCTTTTCGACGAGTCACATCCCTAAAGGCTAAAGACTGCCAACTCATCGCAACACCTACAGCTAGGCAATGCTACCGTAGCATTTCGAGTCGAGCTAAATTTAAGTTTTTGCATTGGCATTTATTAACAACAAAATGGGCATAATTCTATCGAAATTTCGGGTAAGTTCCGCTTTGGCTCGTTATCAGCAGAATCGCAATTAGATGCTGATTTCGCGCATCTGCACCTATAATACACGCACGCATTTCTAATTATAGAAAGAAAAGTCAACGGCAGCGGTGCTGGAGGGGCTGCAGGAGCAGATTCAAGAGCTAGAACAATACTTGAAGAATACGCAAGAGCGAAAACGTCGTTTCGTCAGCAACTTTTTGGGCGTCACAATTGGCATTTACATAGTGGGCTTCGTACTATGGTATTTCTTCTATTTCCCGCCAACTGTGAAGGAGCGCCTCATGAATTTGGTGCCCTTGCTCATATTTCCAGTTCTGTGAGTAATGCGATGAGATCATTAGGCAGTGCATCAAATAATATTGAATGAATTGAATATATTTTTAGCATTATATTCTTACGGCAAATTTTCACCTGGTATTTCCAACGAAAGCTGAACAAAAATGGAAATAAGCTAGCCGAACTGAAGGTGAAGAAGAGTCAAATATTAGACCAGGTCATGGATAAGGAAATCTATAAAGATGCAGTTAAACTGCTCGAACGTTTCGGCGACAAAAAACTGAATCCCATAACTAGCCAATTGAGCGCAACACCGCGACCATCGCAAAGCATTACGGCATTGAATCGCTCAGCTAGTAATCAAATTCCACGCACGCCGATAGCCGCGCCAGGCGCACGGCAACAGCGGAGCCTCACACCCTACACCAGCGTCTATCGCAATCAAAACAACAATTTGAACACCAGCCTCAGCAGCAATGTTCAACGCTTGCAGGTGATGCCAGCGACTCCAGTTACGCGGGCCGGGCAGGAGCTTCGCCGACGAACGCCTTTTCCGATTGTCGACGAACGTTCACGCAGCGCTCTGGACCGTATCGTGGACATGATTGTCGGCGATAGTCCGCAGGATCGCTTCGGCATGATCTGCAAGAAGTGCCATTCCCACAACGGTAAGTGAAGACCAATTTCGGCATATTTCTGAATTCAACAACTATCCATTATTCGCAGGCATGCTGCCGAAGGAAGAATACGAATACACCACATTTCGGTGCGCATTTTGTGAGGAGTTGAATCCGGCACGCAAAGAACGCCCCGTTGCGCCACGTCTTGCCTTGCAGCAATTGCCGGAAACACCGAACACACCATTAAGTGCCCGCAACGAAAGCTCCGATAGTGGATCATCGGCTGATGAAGACTCAGGTATGTTTCTAAGCTTTCTGCTTCGAGCTTTGCATATTAATCTGATAGTGTTTGCTGCTCGTTGTAGACAGAGAAGAGCCGACGCGCTCCGAGCAGCTTCAAGCACTGCAACCGACTGATATTACTGAAACAACAACAACACCAACAACGACTGCTTCAAGCCATGAGAGTGAAACCGATGTAGCCGCCGAGCCCGAGGCTAATGCGGCGGCTGCGAGTGAAAGTACGCCAGAATAGAGAATAAGTTCGCGTAATACGTGAAAAACAGGAAATATAATACATAGTTTGATATTGTACATTTTCCTTTTTTAATTATTATTTATTTTCTTGTTCGTTGGTAAGCAAAATGTCAACAGTTTTGTTTGCTTTAGTCACTAAATCCAACTCACTAGCTTAATTCTAAATTAATGAACTAAAACATAAATTGTTGAATTAAAACTAAAAACGGAATGTAAATTGAACACGAAACTGAAACTTATGCAAAACCCCTGTTAGACAACTTTCTTTGCGCTGCCCGTGAGACCACACTCACTGCCGACGCCCCGCAATCCCGGCCGTCAGCTTAGAAGGAAATTGATAATTAACAACTATGCGAAATATTGTTGCAAAAAAGGTGTCTAATAGCATAATAATTTAAAACATGTCTGCGACAAAAGACAAGTTGGCATACACATCTGATCAAAATAATAGGCAGACGATGATAAGAAAATGTGTTACTACTGCTATAGGCTTTCGACACAAGATCGAAAAAAGAGTTTCATTTTAAAATCAGTTTTAACTGTACACATGACAATAGGTGCGCAAGTCTGCTTTAAACTGCTCGAAATAATGACTGCAGGTTGATAAACCCTGGGGAGCTTAAATTGAGTTATTTTGTCAAGCTTTGGTGCGTACTTTTATGTAATATTCATAAAGGGTGTTTCTGAAATTCCAAAGTTTTTTCAAAAACCAAATTTAAGCTGTTTTTGCATTAGCATTATTCTTGTATAAATAATGCATTTTTTTTTGGCGAAAATTGTGGTATTTCTAAAAGTAATGTAGATTTTTAACAAATCTAAGCTTACAGAACTGTAATTTAAAGTTAAAATTAATCACTTCTGAATTTGAGTGGGAAATTTCTAAACAGCTGCTCATTTAAATCTTTTAGAAATCAAAATAGGGTGCAGAATCCATAGTTGCTGTTTGCTGTACTTGTGTAGACTTTATGCCAAAAGACAGCTGCATAAAAAATAATAGTTACAGTGAAAACTCCCTTAATGGACACCTCTTTTATCCGGACACTTTTTGTAAAACATACATAAATACTTGATACACCGATCGAATGTTTTAGAAAAAGTGTCCGCCGAAGAGAGTGTCCGGATAAAAGAGTTGTCCATTAAGAGAGTTTTCACTGTATATGCAACTTGATCAGAGTCTAAATTATTTAAAATGTAGCAGCATTTGATTTCATAAAATTGAACGCCCATTGTTCTTTGCTCGTACAAATTGAGCGGAAACAGCAATTGGGAACTTTAAAAACTTTAGATGTAAGATGTTGCAACTGCTGTACGCTCGGAACAATGATCTAAATATGTAGGCATAACTGTGTCTTACACAATTCTTTTAATGAGTCATCGTCATGCTCTTAATGGACCGTACTAACAAATGTCTCGTAAAAAGCTTGGCGCACCTGTTACTCAAGGAATTTGAATTTGAAGGGGCGGCCTTTTGACAGAACATTCTTAAACTTTTCATGAATAAGCAATTAAACTCAATTTGAGCGAAAGAAAAGTATTAAATATTCGCAGCTCATTATTTCTTATTGGCTCACGAGCAATCAGATGGCGTATCTAATACCTTGATCAGGGGTGTACCTACAGTTACATTTTTGCGCGGTTATCAGCAGCATGGCGACAGCAACAACAATTTCGACTCGGTATAGCAGCAACAAAAATCAATGCACACGCGCGAGAACAAGCGGACACACACACATGCATTTGTACATACATACATATTTGTATGTATTGGTATACCAATGGATTGCATTATGGTGCCATATTATAGTACTCGTACATACATATGTATGTACATATATGAGCGGTCAACAATTCACAATTTCGCTGGCTTTTATTTTTCCGGGCCATTGATCAAGGCTAACGAGATCAGCTTTGGAGCAGCGAGACAAAACCGCGCGCGAGCAATATAACGCATTAAACGGCCGATATTAGAGTTTCCACCTACAAGTGCGACCAATACACACACACACACACATCACTCATATATACATTACACACATATGTACATATGTATGCACACAAATGTGCAATTGAGACACGAAGCGCCGCGCCCGCGCACATTCCTGTCGATGGTGGCGGTGAGTCTCTATGGCTGAGTCTGAGTCTGGCTTGGCGATTTACGCTGGCGGCGGCCACAGAAATTATAAGAATTAAACCAAATCTGTTACATGCTGCCAACAATTGGACACCGTCGGCCATTGTCCGTCCACATCCAGTTGTCCATCAATTGCCGCCGCCACCACCACATGTGCCTGAGCCTGTGTATGTGTGTGTGTGTGTGTGTGTGTTGCGCGAATATGTTGAGGCTTAGATGTTGGCCTCCGGGGCTCTGTGCTGGTGGTTTTTAGCTGCGGCTGATTAGCTCATAATTTGTGGGCCTGTGCATTTTTTCGGTTGGTAATTGAATTTCACAACGTACTAAGTACGGGTGTATGTACATATGTATGTATGTATGTATAAGTAAATGCGGCAATAGCCGATGTTGGCTCTGACGCTGGCGGAACTGCAACTTCGCCCAGGAAGTCAATAAGGTGTTGCGTCTGGGCATGCGTGGCATGCGTGTCAGTTTTGTGGTCGGCATTTATTGCAAAGCGCGGCAAAGCGCATTGACCAAGAAAAGCGAATATGGCATAACGGGTATTAAAATTACAGTTAAGCTCCAAGTGCAACAGAATCAGCAAATCCAACCCGAACACACTAATCAACACAATTTATCGTACAGATAGTTTAGGCGAACATTTCACTCCCCTTTTTGCTGCTGGAAGAGTCTGCGGAATGTAAAAAATACACGCTTTTCTGCTAAACTTTGACAAATGATATTAAAAAGTCGTACCTGAATAATGTATGTACATATATTTACTTTGTCATGGGAAGTTGGGTGCGAGCTACTCTTGCCTAAGACCGTTCTTTATTAAGAAGAGGCTTAGATTTCGGACACTTGAAGCGCCGGAGTGCAAAAAGAAGTTTACTTTCTATTGAATACAAATGTTTTTTTTTTTCATTAAATGAAATACTGAAATAGAAGCAGCCCAAAAAGGCTGTTATAAAAATATCTTTCTTTTTTAAAATCCTTAATCTTTATTTAAGATCTGTTCTAGGTTAGACAATTATTAAAATTTATGATAACTTCGACATTTTTTAATCATGCCGAGGAACGAACTCACATTGTGGGATTTTTCTTAGCTCGTTCAGCTAAGCCAGGCTCCATAAAAATATCTGAAAAGTCGAAAATAAATATGTTTACAGTCCGAAAATACATTTATGATTTGCATTTTATAAAAACACAATTTGTACACTTATTGCAATTTACGGCATGTTTGTATTATCAAAGGAACCATGGATTTTGAATTTTATGAACATAATTTCAATTTTTTTTCTTTATGGAACACATATTTCAATTCGTACTTGAAATCGGTAATGCAATATGTGGCATGCATTTATGGAAAGAACCGTCCAACTCATCCTAGAAAGCTCTGCAATTATTACTGGCTTATAGGCACTTGGAATTTTGTTACAGCTAGCGTCTTTGCACCAATCATTAATCATTTTACCAATCATTAATAGTTCATAACACATACATAACTATGCAAACAATTAAGTGAAAAACATAAATAATAAAACGTGGCATTACGTTATAAGCTTGATAAGGTGACTTCTTTCGCAAACCTTAGTTCATTTATAGGAGAATTACATTATTTGTTTAATGAGACTTATTTGATGAGCACATATACGAGTATATTAAAATAATAGATAGTTCATGAATAAGAAATATTTTGCAAATAAAATCATTTCACATTTCAGTTAATGATTAAATATGTTTAATTTGTATTCTTCTGATTCATTATATATTTATGAATGTACGGTTTTGTGTTCTGCCTTTGAAAGAAGTTGCGTCGTTTAAGATAAGATAAGCAAGCTTAAATTGCACTCTTGCCACCGACTATACTAGATTTGATCAATTATATATCACCATATCCATTACCTGGACTTTTCAGCTGCTCCAGTTTTGAGAAACTGGTGGGACAGTGTCTTTTCGAATCTGGTGCAAGTTCGCTGCACCGAAACCAGTTTCAGATTGTCATTCGCATATGACTGGGCTGCTGCCTGTGCCTTCCGGGCAGGCGGTTCGGCAACATGCGGACGGACAGCGGCGACATGTGGAAGGGGAGAGGGGAGGTGGGGGGCGACTAGAATGAAACCTGCAGCAAATGGGTGTGATCATACGCTTGGACCCACACATACACAAACAAACAAACACATATATGCATGTGTAAAGGTGTTTCTATGTCTGTCCGTCTCTTTGTCGAGAGCGTGAAGTGATTCACGAACAATTCATTCGTGTGCTGGTCCTGGCCCCGGGCCACTGATACATTTTGGCAAGGGCCAACCAAACGGGGCAGGCACTTGGTTAGTTGCAACTTCAGCTCGAACCGAATCGAAGTGGCAAGGCTTGTTGTCGAAACGCCAACGCGCCTATAAATTCGATGCTATTTTGGCCAAAAATGTAGATTGTAAGTCGGGCTTAGTTCATTGCTAATGACGGCATGTTTGTAACTCAATACTTGGCAGGTATGCAAACACACATACACATGCATATGTCTGTCTGTCTGTCTGTCCGTCTGTCCGTCTGTCCGTTCGTCCAACGCTCGATTTATTTGTTCGAGCGCCAACAAAGCGTCTAATAATAATCTGTTGGGCCAATCAAGCAAAATATGCGCGATCAGTCAACAACAACAGCAAAAGCTACAACAATAGCAACAACAAGTTGCAATTGCCGCCACCACTGCCACCACCGCCACCATTACCGTTAGCAGCTACAAGCCAAATCTGTGCTCGCCTTAACGAAAGTGAAACCGAATCGAGTCGCTGTCTCAGAGTCTCTGTGCACTGCAAATTCTAACTCGGCCCGGCCCGGCTCTGCTCTGCTCCGTTGTGTGGCTATAAAAGCGTCAGCACGACGCGCTGGTCTAACAGTAGAGCACTGACCAGTTAGCCCAATTGGAAGTTTAAATTTTATAGAGTTTATAGTCCAATTGGTCGACAAGGATTAACAAGGATTACAATGTTCTTTAAGCTGGTAAGTGGCATTTTTGGATAACGCTGTTGACCCCGCTCTCGGATCTCTCTCACTGTCTCACTGTCGCTCCGACAGCTGCTCGCCTCCTGCCTGGCTCTGGCCTTGGCCAAACCACAACATCCGCCTGCAGCTCAATATCCAGCCGGTGTGAATCCTCAGGACTGCCCAGGCTTCCCCATCTGTGATAATGCGCGTCTGCACAATCCCCAGCCCTGGAACTCCCCTGCCCAACACCAATGGCAGCCGCAGCCCCAGTGGCAGCAGCCCCAGCCCCAACAGTGGCAACAGCCCGCAGCACCTGCCTGGCAGCCACAGCCCCAATGGCAACAGCCTGCCGCACCCGCCTGGCAGCCACAGCCCTCCTGGAATGCTGCCCCCGCACCGGCGGCCGGTGGCGACAAATATCCGGCGGGCGTGAATCCACAAGTCTGTCCCAACTACCCGTTCTGTGATGTGAATGCTGGACATGCTGCCGCACCTGTCGCGGCGCCACCATTGCCTGGCTGGACGGAGCGTCTCTATCCCGCTGGCGTCTCACCGCACCAATGCCCCAACTTCCCATATTGCCACTAAGGCCCCCACTGGGCTTAGAGCCAATCAGCTAACACTCCACACTGTCCAATTTTGTCCTAACTTGTTTCCTAGCTTCCTTGCTTCCTCCTCTAACGCGAATTACCGAAGTTCTCAAACGATTTGGATTATTGTTGTTGGTGCCAAATAAAAAGAAAAATATGTTGGTAAATAATCTCTCTCTCTCTTGGGAGTGGGGGGTGGGGGGTTGTTGCTAATCAAAAAACAAAAAAGAAAAAGAAAAAAAAACCTTGTCATTAACTTTGGCTCATTCTGCGAGAATGCGAGACAGGCGTGGCCGTCCAAAGCCCAATCGTTTACAACAAGTTCCGCTCTTTCGAGACAAGGAGCCGAGCTCGCTTACAAGTGACTTTGTTGTTGTTTGTGTTATTGTTGCTATTGTTGTTATTGTTGCTATTGTTGCTATTGTTGCTGTTAACCTCATTAATGCATGCCACCGCGCCGCCTTTGTGAAAGTAGTTCTCCGATCGTTAGATAAACTCCAGTTTAGTTTAAATGCCGCATTTACGAGTAACCAGCGAAGGTCAAGTCCAACTGCAAATTATTTGTCCGAGGGTTTGGTCACAACCCAGTCCCAAAGTCACTTTCAAAGCCAGTTCCAGCCCCACAGTACACGACTGCAGCCCACATATGTATGTACGAGTACATAATTACAGCTATTGGTAATACCAATTTTAGGCATGTGGCAATGACACACCAATTTTCAATTATTTCATCTATGACTTCACTTTGTTGCCACTCTTAACGAATTTCCTAATTGCTAGGTTTACGAAATTAAATGCAAAATAAAGAAGGCGAATGGACTGCAAAATGGAGCTGTGGCTACCCCCTTTGTTAAAGCCAACACAGATTATTGGTTAGTTTAATTTTAATTGAATGAAAATATATTTCTGTAAGTACAAGTAAAGGAAGCATTGTTTGAACAAGGCATATTCCGATTTAAGTTTTTACTTTTGAGCCAAAAAAAGAAGGCCGTGCAATGTTGTAAATAGAAATGTACATATAATTACATAATTCTATAAGAACCAATCGGCATTTATTTGTTAGTAATACTTTCAATTTTCTATCAAATTTTGAACTTAGAAATAATATTAAGGAAGCTTTCTAATGCAAAGACTATTATTTATATCAATACTTGCAATTAAGGTAAATAATTCGAAATTCCAAGAACAATTATTTTTATTAATATTTAATCATAGATTTTCAGTGTTTTCCTGTTAATTAAATTAACCTCACCATGTTGTTCATTATAAAAGAGTGGCGCCAATGGTTGCTTATAATTATTATTGTTATTATTATAAACTGTATATATAAACAACTTCATTTTGAAGGTTAATTGCTGCCAAAATAATAAAACTAGTTCAAACATTTTATACCCTTTCGAATATGTAATCAGTAATCAAAAGTCTTACCCAATGATGCCAATTATAATTCATTTTAGTTTGTTTTTAATCACCTTTTTATTTACAAAATTTAAATTAGAATGTTGTACATATTTACAGCAGTCGCAGCTATTGGACCTTTGGAGGCCAACCAACAATTTACAGCCAACCATGCGATGACCAGCCCTTATAGTCGTGGACATCATGCAAGTCGTGAGCATCGATATGGGCGTGCTCGTCGTGATGGTCGTGATGTTCGTGATGATGATGAATGGGCACATGCACCTCCTCGCGATGGACATGATGCACTGGAACGGGCACCTCCTTATACACGGGCACGTGGACCTCCTTGTAGACTGGCACATGGACGGTCTTCACCACTGGCACCTCCTTGATGATCTTCTGGGTGTGATGATGGTGGATGGTGTGTACTTTATAGGGCACATGTATGGTATGGTGCTCACTGCAATGCAAGAATCCAGATGGATGTATTACGTAATGCACGCAAATTGTGAAAAGGAAGGCAAAGAAGTGGCCGAGAGAGCGAGCGAGCAATTAAAAACGAGCTTTGAAAGTGAAAAGCGCTGTTATGCGAACTGATTGGAAAATAGGTGGTCACAACTGCTGTTGCCACTGATAATTGGCATTCAACATTATTAGCTAATCAATGAGCCAACCAACTAACTTGTTGGCTGTGACTTGGCAGGCATTCAGACAAGCAGGCAAGCAGGCAAGGAGGAGACCAATGCACGGAATTTATAATTAGACGACGCAATTATGTGCGCATTATAATGAGTTAATGAAATGCCAGCAAAATTCCTGGGCCACACGACAAATGTCTGTATTGTTGCTATTGCTGGTGGACTTGTAATGAAGTCGTAAGTTCAATGGCGCTTTTAATGTCTAATTGAATTGCACTCGCAATTGCAGGCGGGCTCAGTTTTATGGAGCAATCGAATTGCATTATGCACCTCAGGTTGGGTGTGAAGTGCACTTAACAAGCTTTTTATTGCACATCTCGTTGCTTAATTGAATTATTCATAGGCATATTAACTAACTAGCTGCGTTTAAAAACTCATATGCGAACTTCGACTACTGGTAACCGCAAATGTTGCACGTTTAACCATAAAACGAAGCAACTTTGTTTTTAAAGACTGGATAGTATGTATTCCGACCACTTCCCACTCAAGCTATTAGCTCAATACTCACTGTTTGCCAAAGAAGCCGGGACTGGGTGCCGCATAGGCCACAGCGCAGAGTGCCACGAACACCTTAAATGGGGAGGAATATGCATAGGTTAGCCAAATATCAAAAAAATGCTGCATTCCAAACTATTAACACAACACATATCTATCACATTCAATTGTTAGTGTGGGTAACAGTCTTTTTTCAAATTTAACAGCACTCCTTTAACAGCACTCCTTTTTCACTGCACTGCACGGCAACACTTACGACAATTTTAAGGGCGGTCATATTTGTTTATGGTTGGATATGCTATGAACGAAACGAACGCGTTTAACACTCAAGTCCTTTTTAAAGTCCTTTTATACAAAATATTCCATGCACTGCCAATTGGCCGACTGCTGTTGACTGATAACCACACTCCGGTGGCTCATCCATTTTATACTCAATGCAGCGTGCAGAGCTCGTTTACAGCGACACAACATAGCCGAAAACATAAACATACACACATGCATGTGTGTGTGTTAGTTTGCATGTAAAACGTGACGTTAGCGCGCTAACAGTGCTCTGTTAACTGCTGGTCGTTGCGGACGTTTATTGAATCGCAAGCAACTTTTCGAGATTTGAATTTGTTTTTGTGGCTGCCTGTAGCCACGCATCAGTTGCTGGAAAATGAAGTCGCAACTATATGAATATATACATATGTACATACTCACATAGTATATGTGGCTTAAGTTCGTGTCTTAGCTCTTTAATACTCGTACGTTCAAAACATGACACAGACAATCGAACTTTGACTGCCCCCGAGGTTGTTACTGCACAGATTTTGATGACATATTCGGGCATCGCATTTTTGTGTGCTTTGTGCTTTTGTGTAATACAACACATGAATTACATAAATTTCAAAATCGTATTGTTGCCTCGTCTTCTTGTCAACCAAGCAGGTGCTATTGCTAGTTTCATTGTTTCTGTTAATGTTTATTTTGTTTCTGTTACTGTTGTTGTTGTTGTTGTTGTTGGTGTCGCCACTGTTGGGAATCATTCCAAGTGAATGACCAAGTGGCACACATTAGTTAATGGAATCAGCTATGGCTAAGTGAACGCAGTTTCAAAACCAATCAGGCAAATGGCACTGCACGACATACTATGTACAGTCAAGACTGTCTAAGATGTCCATTCAAAATTTAGAACTTTGTCATTTTAAAAATTGTAAAATGCTTACATATCATACACTTAAACAACAAATCACGCAATCAATATAAATTGAGGTGAGTTCTTTTCTCTTAACAAGGTTCTATTTTGAATTAAATATTATTAATCGGATTTCTAATAGGACATTTCGAATACTATTTGAGAAACCTGGTCTTCCATTTCTTTTGTATTACTTCTAAGATTAGAACTGATCGTTTTAAATGAAATACCCGCATTGAATCAATCAAACAATTTATAATTAAGATAACTTGAAGTTAATATTACTTGTAATAGCCGAATTTTCTATACTTTTTTAATGAGTGCTGGAAATTAAGAATTATTAATACCGTTCCCGAAACTCTGACGGACTTCATAGCACCAATTAAAAGGAGTTGACTGAAAAAAAATTTTTTTTTTTTAATTTTTAGAGCTCCGAATTTGTTTTGCACAACAACGCAATGCGCAATTAACCTGAATTAATTAATAATAGTGGCGAACTGGTTAAAAGCTTAAGCCAAATTTTTGTTTTCTGCGAACTATGGAACTAAATTGCTTAATTTTTAGCGTTTTTATTTTTTCAAAATATACAACCATACTCGTACTTATCAAAATACCTTTTTGTAAAGTAGACGAGACAAAGCATTTGCCTTTGAACTAAGTATACAACTCGAATAATCCAAATTGCTGTAAAACGTGTGCTCACAGCCAACAGAGATTAAATTTAATGTGCTCATGAGTTAACAAGTTAAACCAATAAATACCCTAAATTTATGTATGTATAAGTTAAGGTGTGGCAAATGAATTTAAAATGAAGGTTAAAACATAAACAAATAAAGTTGCAGACAACATGTTCATGGATTATCTATACTATATTCCTATTAATAGGATCTTCCCCTTATTGTATTTCCACTGTAGGTACAAGTATATGCCTTCATTTGCTTTGTCCCCTAGTCCGTCCACCTGCCAATGAACCAATCTGTCGTGCAGAAAGTGAACGTAAGGGCAACAGACCACAAAAACAAAACCTACTATAAATAAAAAATGAAAATAAAATAAAATCATGAAAATAAAAGTCACGCCAATCAGTTGCGATTCGTTTCCGATCCCTTTTTTGGATATCAAGGGGCACATCTTAGTAACGACCTTGAATGTTATGTTGGCTTTAACAGTGCGGTCGCTGTCTCTCAGCTTGTTATTGTGCATGTTACTGTTGTTGTTGGCAATTAAAGTCGTAAATGGGTCACACACACATAAAAAAACAAAAACAAAAGCAGAAAAACAGAAGCTAAGCCAACGATTGAAGTTTCAAAGGAGCACATCACGTACGCACGCGTTCAACATAAGTAACGGAAATTTGCAATAAAACGCACTTTGGTCATTGTATGGTTTCTGCTATCTTTGGTTTCAATTTTTTATTTTGATTTTTTGGATTTTTGAGCACTTACTTAACAGCTTAAGTCAAGCAACCACCAGCCAGCCCTAACCCAAATCGAAGCCCAGCAGCGGCGACTTAATCATGCAATGCATCGCACGATTTAACAAGCATTTGAGCGGCTTAGCCTCTGCTTTTGGATAAAATGCGGAATTTTGCATTCTGTACTCTAGGCGGTTACGTCGTCATTGTTGTTGTTATGTTGTCATGTTGTTGTTGTTGTTGTCCACGCCTTGACATAACATTGGCGCCAGATGCTGTTGCAATTGTAGCAATGTTATTGCTGTCAGGCGTGTCTGTTAACCGGCACGTCTGTTACCAAACATTTCCATCTCAATACGCGTACTGTTAAGCCAACTCTGTAAATGTATATATGCCAGTAGTATGTAGGCTACTGTGTTTTTCCGCAAGTTGTGTTGGATGCAGTGCTGCTGCTTTCCAAGTGCCAAAAAAGGCTAGATGAGCAATTAAAAACCAGCTAGAAATCCCTGAAAAAATAAATGATGCTGCTATTCTTGAAGGACTTCATATTTGTTGGTAAAAATGTATTGTATTATCAAGATGAGCTTCTAGTATAAACTATGGACTGTAATCATTATAAGTGTTATTATGAAATTTACAAAATAATGATTTTTTTAAATGTTATTCATTTTCTTAGATATATTATAATAAAAATAAAAGCAAAAATCATATTTTTAGCAAAAAAAAAAATAAAACTCATAAAATAATGTTTATTCTTAAAGTTGTTTTTTTTTTTTTTTTTTTGATCAAATAAATAAATAAAACTCAAGTTGTAAATTTGAAATCTGAAAATATTTTTTAAGGATGTTTTTTTTTTATCCCAAAACTGTACTATAGGGTTTCGTCTTGGCTTATTGTTAACGATATATATAAATGTTGTTCCTATTCCCAATGAAAAAGGCTGGGACAATTACAATTTCTTCCACATTGGGAGTTTAAAAAATCCAGAGCTGGCGGGAAAATGGCTAAATTGGTAACACAAAGAGGATGGTGGCTTGAGGCTTCCACACGCCCCCGACTCGCCACATAAGCTGTGCTCCAAATTGTGTTTCATAGAAATTTGTACAATAATTGCTCAAATTTCGTTGACTAATTGCGTAATGCGAATCAATTTGTTTTGATAAATATACTATAGCCAATGTATGTCTGAACGAACTCTCCCCCGACGTCCCCATCTACCCGCAAAACTTTAGATATACTATGTACGAGTATTTGTACTTTCATTTTCTCCGCACAGAGGCGCGAGCGATTTTAGCAGTTAATCCGAATTGCAAATACAAATACTTCCTGCAAAGTGAGTTTTGTTTTTTTCCACGAATGTGGAACAGCATGCTCCCTGACTCTGACTAGCTTACCAAGTCCCAGTCCCCCAGCTGGAACGCCTGCAGCCTGCAGCTGGCGGTCAGTGTCGTAAACATGTTGTTGTGCCCACTTTTATTATGAAAATCTTTCGTGGTGGCGGATAGTGTTGACGATCGTTTGTCGTTATTGCAACAGCAGTCGAATCCATTGGGGGGTTTTTTTTAAGCCTATACTCTATAGCCGGTTACAGATACTCAAAAAATATTCAAATATAACAATTTTGCTAGTCAATGGCCGCGTCTGATTGGCAGCAAAGCATTATTGGAAAATGGCACTCAAGTGTTTTAAAGCATGATTTATTGCGGCGCGACTTGATTACGCGCTTTCAACTCAATTTAATAATCATTTAAATTGATTCTTAAATATGTGCACAAATCTAATTTTGTATTTTTTTAATTTCTGCAATGCTACGATTGACTGTAGACATGCGTTCACATGTTACGTGTTTGCCAGCCGGCATGATATATTAGACATTAATTTGCTCTGGTATAAATAAACCATTTATGATAAGATAGGGAAATGTCGCATTGAACAGATCTGCGATGAGTTATGTACTTGATACTCACTTTCCAGCTATGTGATTGGCGCTGGCGCTGGCGCCCATTAAGAGGTTCACATGCATATGCAAATAGCTTGGAGCGTACGTGGTGTCACCTGATCGGAGCATTTCCTGGTCGCGCGCAACAGACACGCTCTAGCCTACAACTGTCAATCACCTTTGACAAATTTATGCGTCTGCCGAAATCGATTTACCCAATGGGTTTAAATTTTATTAATTTTCTGTTACAGTCGATTTGAAGGGACGAGTTCGCTGGCGTGCTCCTGGCCTGGACTGGCCCCTTATGCTTAGACACGCGCTCCGATGCATTGAAGTTTTCACGCCCGAACGTGATGGCAGTGCTTGGTGCGTGCTCTTCATTTTTCCCCCAATTGTGAATCCATGAGGCATACGCCATTCGAAGAGCGTTACTTGAATTTTGATTGAATTTTGATGCGATTTTTGATAGCGCTCAACGAGGAGAAGAAGAGCGGGGAATAGAGGCGTTGCGCTCTGACAGTTTGGCCGCACTGACATATAATATTGTGCAATCGATGCCAATTGCTTATTGCCAATTTTATATATTTTTTTTATTACTTCTTCACATTTTGGCGCCAACTTTGATAAACGCTTAGCAAGCTTATTAAACGGCTCACCTTCAAGCTGCTACTGTCCAATATTCTTAAGAAGCGTTAAGCCGCTGCTGCACCTTGAACAGGGGGCGTGGACGTCGTCTTAATTATATTCTTTAGAATTCCTGGCATATGCAAATTAGCCAGCCCTCTCTTGATGAGGTCATCTTTCAGCGTAGCCAGCTCCTGGCCATTGCTTGCGCTGCGCTGGCTTAACGCTGATGCCGACGCTGACGACGACGCTAAGCAGCAACGGCGCTGCCTCTTCGACGGCGACGGAGACGACGACGGCGCAAGCGCAGCCGCTCAAGAAGAACAACCCCGGCCTGAATTAGACGCCAGCGAGCATGACAAGGTCGCGCTTATGCGCACTTAGAGGTGTCACCAATTATGATTAAGCGTACACATACACATTTACTATACAAGTATGTATGAACGAATGGGCCTCATAAAACTCCTCTTAAGGCTACAGTGAAAACTTGCACTAATTAACGCTTCAACGAAGTATTCGAAATTAGTCACAAACTTGGACCGCAGCTGGTAACTGAAAGCTGAATTGCATTTGGCAGTCACAGACTTTATTATGCAGGGGACGTTGGGGTTGGAAATTAGAACTCACGCGCTTCTTAGTCCAGCTAACAAAGCGTAAATTGAGAACAAGAAATGAAAATTAAGATGGCATAATGAGTCAGACGATGTAGTCAGAAGCAAGTATTCAGAACCATGTTGATACAACACCACCACTGATCCAATCGAGTGCTCCAGTAAGGCACAATGGGACAAATGTTCATTTATAGCAACCACAATTTGGTGAAGTTGTGTTTTCACAACTTTTCCTTCAGAGTATTTGTAATTTGTTTGGATTCTGTTTGCATCTCTTTTTCAATAATTATAGTATTTTGCGTACAAATACTAATATCAAGTTTTTCATTGCAAGAAGCTGAAACGGATATAATAAATATTAAATCAAACAAAAACATATATATATTTACTTTTATTTGCTTTTTTTCCTCATACTTGTAGACAGGAAACTAGTTCCTTTTTACTTTCCCAAAACTCTGCCGAATTAGATAAATGATTGTCTAAATTTTATTGTACTCTATTGTAATATAGAGCCAAACTATTATATAAATCCTGAAAAACTGAACACTTAATTCTAGATTTTACCGCATGTTTGTTAAAATATACGTAAAACGGTTCTTGCCAATGAATGGAGGAGCGAAATGGGGTACAAAAACTGTTCTTTAAGACAAAGTTGAGAAAAAAAACAATAATAAATCATTCCTATATTTTGGTTTTAATTGAAAACAATTGGTTTTAAATACTGAACTATTTTCTAAAGAACTATTCAATAGATATTCGGAATCGCAATATTTTTAGCAACAGTTCACATCATTGCTATAAAGGTCAATTCATAAACTTTTCATAATTAACAGTTCATTTCACTTTGTCCTCCCAAAAGAACGCATAACCTAACTTAAGAGCTTAATGAATATTTCTGTATTTTTTTTCCAATAATTGATGTAGCAAAATTATTGGGAATTTTTTTATATTAATCACTAATAGACTGCATAAGTTCTAAAATTACTTTTCGAATGCGAATTTAAATATTTCAAAATAAATTTGATTTGAATTTTTCGATTTGTGGAAATCAGAATTAGGCCAAAAAAGCAAAAGTGATCCCAATTTGATTTTATTTCCCTATAGACTCTAGAATTACCTACTGTGTGTGGCTGCTTTTAATTTTAATTGGAATACGTGTAGAACAAATGACAAACACAGAATAATTACGCCTGGCACTCGAGGTGTCTTCCGTCTACACTGATTTCTTCACAATTCGGCGTGGAACGGTTTTCAAAAGTCATTGCCGGCGGGCTATTAGAGCGCCATTACCGAAGCGTTGGGCGTGAGGAAATGGAAATGGAATGGCAAACAAAAGTGGGAGTCGGCCTGGAGTCGCTTAGGAGCGCTTTAGTACTCCAAACTATGTAATAATGATGATGTTAGTGCCGATGATGATGATGATGATGATGACGATGTGCGGCGCCAAACTCCACTGCCTCGGCCTAGCGTCGAAGAGACGTCGCGACTTTGCCTCTCAGTGAAGAGCTAAAATCTAAATGCTGGAAAATACAACAACAACAACAAAAATAACAGTGACGGCTCGAAAGCTAAACAAAAAAGTGCTGGCATTGTTGTTGGTTTCTGTCTCTGCCGCCACCGCTGCTTGCGTCGCCGCCACCGTCACCGTCGCTGTCGCTGCCTTTTGCTCTTCCGATGAGTTTCGAATACAACTAAATCAGAATTTTTATTCAGTTTCAATTGTTTAGCGAGTGCGGAACGAGTCGAAAGCGGCTTGCAAATAAAAATGCACAAAACAGAAACTAAATAACAAAAAATAAAAAAAAATCCAAGCGAGTAAATTTCATTGAAATTAGTCAATGACTAAATGGCCAATGCAAAATAACAAATTAAAAAAAAAAACTCTCGTATTCGTGAGTGTGTGTGTGTGTGATCTTCTGTAGATTTGTGTGTGTGCGTAGGTGTAGGTGGGCGTGTACTGTAATTATGGGCAAAATATTGCGTGCGCATCTTTCCAGCTTTCTTCTCATTTCGTTAATTAGCCGCAATTCGCGAATGTCAAACGTGTAAAAAGCGCAACGGAAGTTTGGAATTGGCCGAAAGTTACTGTTACCGTTAGCATTAAGATTACTGCTACATTTCGCAGCTTAATCGCCTACAGCCGGAAAACAATAGAAAGAAAAGCGCCAGAACTCTGCGAACTTATCAAACCGTAAAGGTGTTAGGCGCTGGAAACTTCTTCAAAGCTGACCAAGTTTAGAGAATTTTAATTTTTTTTTCTTGATTCTTGAGTAGAGACGGCCTAATATGTAAGTTCTTAAATTCAGGAGGAAAACGGCTTTAAATAATCATAAGTTGACGTCAATATAGAGAGTAACTGCGAGGCTATAAATAAATTATGAACTATTAGTGTTATTTAATGAGATAAATGTTTGTTGTTCGCCTAAAGCCAGCAGTCTGTGGATTTATAACAAACTAGTAAGATATGGCTGACTTAAATTGTTTTTAAATTTCTGCAAGTATTTATATTTAACAGAGGACGGCATAATTAATCATAAACCGTCGCCAATGTACTACAAGCTTAGGAGTTGATTTTCTACCACAATCGCGGTAACTGCGCGGCTAAACATGAATTATTAGTGTTATTCAATTTTTCTTCTTTAAAACGAAAAATACATTTTTGACTGACAGCTAAGCCATAAAAGAACAATTAAAATGTGCGGCTCTTCATTTTTGTTTATAATATAATTTTTTTTGCGCAGAGTTGTGTTTTTGGCTTAACGTTTGTTTTATTTACGCATTGCTGAGCACTTTGTCATTAGCCTCATGGGGATTGCAAAATTATACAAAATACAACACAATTTTAATTATCAAGTACGAAAAACGTTTCGATTGAAAAGCGACACTGAGTCTGAGTTTAAACTTTGGCCCGAAAGGTCACAGGCAGTCTAATTGCTGTAGTACCCAGTTTTTATTAGAACTTGCAGTAGTGCCGTCATCCAAGTCATGGAAGCCAACAGAGTCGACTCCCTGGCTGGCTAGCTGGCTGGCTGGCTGGCTGACTGCCCGGCTGGCAGCTGTAGCGCTTCGTTGCCCAGGTTATTGACTGACTGATACACACCGCACAAACATACAAACACACACACACACACAGACACATCGATGAGGAGAGGCGCACACTCTAATTATGCTGATCTTACTTCTTCCGCGACCAGACATAAAACAAATACTACATAAATGCCGAAAGACGTCTAAAAGCTTTAGTGAACCCATAAAGAGTGGCAGTGACAATTGGCAGCTGGACGTTGGTTGGAGTGACTAAGCCCTTCGTGGTCGATCTTGGCTTATATTTTTAATGATCTGCATATTTTGGCAACATAATTAACGGTGAAAGAATGTGAAAAGTAGCGAAACGAAGCGTGGAAGCGAAGCAAAAGAAATGAAGTGGACTGGCACGCGAATCTAAATCTAGCATTGCCGCCAACGCGAACGCCAGAGAGAAGAAAGCCAGAAGGTTTCTACGCGCCTCACGCTGTTCGCTGTCTTTCAGTTTTAAAACTCAAGTCGATCCAAACAGTTGTGCAAGAAAAGAAGTGAAAATAAATAAATGACTAGCCCAGCAATAATGTAAAAGGAAGTGTACAAATTAGAATTCAAAAAAAGAAGAGAGCAAGCAGTGTGTGAAAGGCAATTGTGCATTTAACAAGAATTCCTTTACTAATCTATAGATTTAGATATATACATATATATGTGGCAATGTGTTACCATAATTATCGGATATTGCATCTCGGCCTCTGGGCATTATTCAGCATTTGCCAGCCTCTGCCATCACTCGCACTGACCGTGGATAACCAGCTCGTCTCGGCCCGCAATGGTAAGTGGAAATGGTAATACCCATCGGGTTATTACACAGCTCATAAACTAGAACCTTGCGCTGAGAAAAGCTGCGCAGAAGGTAAATTAACTTTTGTTGTCTGTTGACCTTTCTGAATTATTCATGGATTTGGCTTTCATCGCAGCAACTCTTGGTTGATAGAGTCTATGTCTAATAATAAAGCCACATGAGTCCAAAAAGAATGTATAATCCAAAACACACTCACAAAGGTGCCAGGCAGAGGGACAGGTGTCGGGCTAATGGCAGTCAACTGAGGCCGCTTGACACGCAATGCTAATAAAATTTAAATTTAAATAAAGAACAATTGCTCGAACACAATGACAAACCAGAACAGAGACAGACAGACAGACAGACAGGCAGACGGATGGACAATTGCAAGCCCAATAAAACTAACCTACCATACCTACCGCGAGCTGTGGCCAACGCCAACCACACGGCCTTGAAAGTGCAAGTGGTGCGTGCTACATACAGACTAGTATATGCATACCACATCCACAAATACATATGTATGTGACGCAATCGTCGTGCCACTGCCACGCTGCTGTTGTGACCCAAATGCCCGACAGACACGATATGGGGCATATGCCTACAGGTCGAACTTTCTAAAACGAACTGCCTACTAAGAGCATTAGTTCTGTCTCTAAAGGCCCATTATGTCATACTTTTTACTGTCAAACCTATTTCCCACGAACTGCTTCACAAAAAATACGAATAACTTAGAATTAAATCCGATCGAACTTATTTTTTAGCAACCACTTATTTGCCTAACTCTCTTTTCATTCGATTATATGCTTATGTTTTTAATAAACCTAGTTAAAAGACGTTAATTTAATTAAAGTGGATCAGCGTTTCATTGATTCAAAAATTATTGTTTTCTTGTGTCTACAAAGGAACTTGTAATCACTCGACATGTAGCTAATGAATAAATAATTATATTGTTGTATTTAGTTACGGCCTCTCATTACAATATTAATGCCTTTTAGAATACAAAAAACAGTTTTTACATGGTGTTTAGTATCTTTTGAAATTAATAAATGATATTCAGCTAACTTTTGAAAATCAAAAATGTCGAAATTCGAAATTGTTTTTGAGTTATTTGTAAAATATTCTTTAAAGGCAAGATCAGCTTAGTCGTCTAAAACGAAATTAGGGACTTCGATCAGCATTCCATTAAAAAGCTTTCTGCTCTTAAGGTTCCTTTACAATCGGTATCTTTAATCTTAAATTAAGAATGTAGAAACACGTTTGTAAAGGTTTTTTCTCAACTTTTTCTTCCATGTCAATAGCCGCCTATAAAATCATTTGTCTAGTTCTTGGTGTTCTTAAGTCACTTTTAAGTAAAAAAGAAAAAAATCGTATACAGCTAATTCTGTTTTTACACGGTCTGTTTTTACACGATTTTGATTTGAAAACAGATTTTTTATATGGTTGCACGACTTTATTCCATTTATCACGATTCAAAATAACATACGATCAATGTCTATTTTACACGGGTTTTTTTTACACGACTTTTTCTGGAACCAATCTACCGTGTAAAAACAGAATTAGGTGTATATTGATTTTAAAAAAAATCTTAAAGACTTGGCTTACAACGTTTTGAAACTAGATTCAATTATTTAGGGCCAATATGGAATATCAAAAAGTCCAGTTTTGGCCTTAACTTTCTATCGTAATATTCTCGTTTGCTAATGGTTCTTTTATCACAATGAAGTACACCTAATTCTGTTTTTACACGGTTTTTTTTTATGCGGTTTGAAAATTAAAAATTTTATATATGATTACACGCCATTATTCCACTTAGCAAGATTTATTTTTCATATGATCATTGTCTTTTTTTACACGGTTTTTTTTTGAACACGACTTATGTAGGAACCAATCTACCGTGTAAAAACAGAATTAAGCGTAACAGAATTTTAGTGTTTTATTCACTGTGGAATTGATATTATAATTTTATTTTTTATTTCATCAACAAACAGGGGTTGCCAATTTAGATTACAATATAGAAAACAAATAATAGCTTAATCTCTTAAATTGAAATTTTTGGACTTTTACACTGTGAAGATCAGATAGTTAGTTCCGAAGCTTGAATTACGCTCGAGGCCTTAGTAACAATACTACTTAATGGGGATGACATCACTCCTCATATGAAATTCGTTATAGAGTAGCTCGACTGTGGACGCATCTAAATTGGCGTCCATTGCCCAATTCGCCAATATCAACAAAATGCGTCTGAGACTGAGACGAATGAACTTTTTTCGTTGCAACAATTTGGATTGATTTTTGTTGATTTAGCGATGTTATTGTTGCTGTTGTTGCAGACTGTTTCGAACGTATTGCGCTGGAGGCAATGCTGCCATTCGAGAAGACCTTCCGGACCGAAGACACCAACTCGCTGAAGATGTGCAAGGAAAAGTGTCTGCAGGCGGGCGAGAAGTGTCAGGCGATCTCGTTCGGGTGAGTCGGCTGTCAAGCGATTACTCAATTGTTGTTGCTGACTGTTGTTGCTTTCGATCTTGCAGTGTGCATCGACGCGGAAACGGCACATGTCAGTTGTCGTCGGAGCAGTATGGGACGAGCGGAGGGCGGCCTGCAGGGGTTATTTTCGATCCCGACTTTGATTTGTATACGCGCAAAACAAATTGCTTTGATTTGAGCGACAATTCGATTCCCATGCCCGGTGGACCAAGTCCCATCAGCACAGGTGGTTATGGTGGTTCCGCTCCCACACCACCCGTGCATTTGCCCAACCGTCCTGTCGACGTTGGCAGCACGCCGCTGCTGGTGGTGAATCCATCGCCACCCACCACTGATGAGCGACCTCTGGAGGGCCCGGGACCCTTACCAGGCCCCACACTGCCACCACAGCCCGGCGTTGGCGATCGCCTGTACTTCACCCACGATCTCTATCCCCTCTATAAACATCCGATGCTCTACGAGCACAACTATCCGGCGCCCAATGACGATCTTTACATTCCGGGTGGCTATGCGGCCAATGTACCCGTAGTCGAGGATCGCTATCGACCTCCGTATGCCATTGACGAAGACAGCGTGCGGCCCACGCCGCAGGGACCACCACGTCCAATCTTTGGCCTGGGTTATGGCAATGGCTATAGTTACGGCACTCCCGAGCGCTACATGCCCACCACTATGCGACCGGGTCCCTCTTCGGAGGAGCGACCCAGTTATGCGCCTCGTCCAGGAAATTACCCCAATGATCGCCCCACCTACCAACCGGGAACGCGACCTTACGAGAGCTCAACGCCGCCCGCATACGGACCCCGCCCCAGCTTTGACGGACATCGCGAGCCCAGGCCCGATTACACAAACCGTCCAGATCCTCCACATGATGGGTTCGGAATGAGCTCTTCGATACGACCACCTCCCTATGCAGGCGGTAGTGGAGGCAGTGGTGGTGGTAGTGGTGGTGGTAGTGGTGGTGGCGCTGGTATTGGTGGCGGAAGTGGATACCAAGATTCGCATAGAGATGATTATGTGCGCCGTAATGGCACTATAATGCGACCAGATGGCTACGACGATGACAAGACCATTGCCACTTACTTCAACCCGGAGGATTACATGCAAGGTGGCAATAAAAGTAAGACAATGTCCCACGTTTCCTTCATGACAATCAATCATCCCAACCAATTCTGTGTTTAATTTATTTGATGTAGAGAGGCCCATGCCCGGTGATAGAGATAGAGATCGGGATCGCTATCCCATGGACCAAGGAATGAGTGGTGAGTATCGCAGCATTAACTAACACAGCATCCATAGGAAGCCTGAAGGGGGAACTTATAGAAATACGTAATGAATTATTCCTTTCATATAGGAAGCAATTCACTTTTGTCTGAACTTGTGGACAATTACTTAACTTCAAGGGTGAATCTTTGAATCTTTAGATTTTCATTAAAACTAAAGAAAATCTACCCCTATAACAAAGACTTAACTTCAAGGGTGAATCTTTGAATCTTTAGATTTTCATTAATACGTGAAGAGAGCTAAAGAAAAAGTATCCCTATAACAACAACATTTTACGGGAATCAATTAACAAGTATAAGGAATGATAGAATGGTAGTTTTTTACTATTTCCCCAACTTTTTTTCCAAGTCTGTAGTCTCATATAAAATACTCTAAAAGCTGTTAAAGTAACGATGCATATTATACATATATAGAAGCAAGTTGACCAGTTTTCTGAAAAGTTGTATTCATTTTAGGAATATCGTACTTTAGGCTTCCTACGGACATATTTAGTAAAGATAATGGTCGGTTCATGCCCAAATGATGGTCTTTAAAGTAACTTTCACGAACATTGCATTAAATGTTGGGATTAACTAATTTAATCCAGCATTTTTGGACAATCATATTATATTATTATATTATATTATATAATATTCAATGTGAACTGTCCATAATCTTTAATTTACACCCCCCCCCCCCCCCCCCCCCCCCCCCCCCTTGTCGAACCCAACTAATTCGGATTCGTGCCTAACCGATTAGGTTCAATAACCAGGCGTGATACGGGTCAAGCGTACACTTGACGTCAATTGAAAGCTTTTACAATTACAACGGCAAACAATTAACATTGCGCATAATTAAAACCCATTACGATGCACCTAGAAAAGATCAAAAAGCACAATGTTGACCCACATACTATTCGCCTCCATTGGCATAACAAAACTAAACTAAACTAAACCCATTACTGGGTATTGGATGTGTGGGTGGGTGTCAGTGTTCAAATCAAATGCTGTGCGAGTGCACTCAATAATAAACCTAAAGCTCATTGCGTATAAATTGCTAAAAAATTAAAAAAAAAAAAAAATCCATGCACACACTACACAGAATGGGAGCCTAACAAATAGTTCTCTGTATATATATTCGTATGTACCTATAGTTTTGACAAATTGCAAAACTTTGCATGCAAGTGGAGCGCAAATATTGGGTAATGGGGCTATTGATAAGGCCAAAAGTATAGCTATGGCCGAGACCACATGATGTCATCGCAACAACAAACAAATGGATACAAACTATCCTAGTAATGGTAGAATTTAATTCGGAACCGCAACAAAACCAGCAGTGGGAAGAATAAATTACCTCCAATTGCGGGCTCAGCAGTAAAGAAGAATGCTAATCTGCTTTGTGTGGCATAAACAGGTAGTTGAAGAAAGTTTGCCAAGATTTACGACAACTTTATGCCGAATTAAAGGCTTAAGCTTAGCACCAAATAATTAAGAGACAGTCGAAGCGATGTGCGGAACACGCAGCGTTTTGATTTTTGACTCAACTTCCTTTAGAGTTCTCGAGTGTGACGAGTACGTGAACCCATAATAATAAAAATAATATAGTAATAATATCAACAGCGGGTGGTTAGTTGGGTTGCTGTCTATGCGCCAATGACATAAGCCCGCCTCGCCAAGTTCAAATGGAAGCTTTTGTTGAGCGAGAACTAATTAGAGTAGCACGATGACGATCGCGATCGCAATGACGATGGCATGTTGACATGTGGCCGAAAATGTAATTAATTTGTCTCCGTCACCGTGTTGGTTAAAGTTAGTTTTATTAACCGTGGGACAGATTGCTACTTACACTTGAAGATTAGAATGTTTCAATTGTGTGTGGCGAGTCAAAGCGGAAGCATTGCCAGCCAGCCCAGACTAACATGAATAACATTATGGCTGTGGGTGTGTGTGTGTGTGTGTCTGTTCATGTTGTTGAGGGCAAAAGTTTTGCAATCACAGCAACAACAACAACAACAGAAATAGAAAAAGGCAACTGCATAAAATGCACTTGAACAAGCGCCAAAAGGTTGGCTCTGACGTTGGGTCGACTGCATTCATTGTATGCAAATCCGTCCGTCTAGAACACAAAAACCACCCACTAACACACACACACACACACAACACACTCTTACACACACACACACACACACACACACACACACACACACACAAGTATAGAGAGTCAGAGTGACAGCAGTGACATTGATTAAGAAACGGAAATGCGCTCAGCTTGTCTGCTTTTTGCAGCAAAGCTCGCACTGCAGACAGTTCTCCATACTTATTATGAAGGAGCACGGTGGTTGGAGATGGGTATGGAGGGAGGGGGGCTCTAGCGCTAGTGATTGTCTTGTTTGTCAGTGCGATGATGAATGCCTTATGCTAGGCTATATGGCTGGTAAGTTGCTGCAGTGGTCCCTCATGTGTGGCATTCTATATACATACATCTCTATGTATTCATAGTATGTGGAAACCAAAGACGAAATTCCGCAAGAAAACGAAAGACTTAAGCAACAAACTTTTTGCAAATAAGTAATTATCATCGATAAATGTGCTATGCATAATAAGCAAACAAATGGTATAAGCTTGAATTCAATTAACTGCAGTAACGAGCATCCTTGAGTGTTACTAGCAGGGTGGTGCCAGAAGAAGGTGTTGGGGTGCGTCACACTTTTTAATTTCCTTTCAGTTTGTTCTTCCATTTGCTTTATTTTACGAAATAAATAAACTAGCTTGTATGTCATTTGAATAGCTGCAATTCCCTAAAAAAGCAACCTTTTTTCAGCTTGAAATTTCTGATTACTTGTTACTTCTATCTACGTATTATATATTCGCATATTTTACTTTATTTGAGTAATTTTTATGCAGAAAACAAGTTAAATATTTTGATTGAATTAACCATCCTTTAAATCCAACTAATATACTGAGCCTACACTCATTACCAATTTCTTCTTCCTTAAAAAATGTTCGCCATAAGTACTTGTATGAAGTCGACAACACATTCATTATAATGGCGTACTATTTCGCCTTAAAATGGAACTGAGTTGGATTTGTTGAAATTTTTATATTGATCATATGTTATTATCATAAGTTATTATTTTAGCGCATCGTGCATTATTTAATCAAAATTGACATTTTTTGGCCCCCCCCTAGCAGTCATCCTTTGCCATTTTCAAATAGGTTCGACTTAACCTTACTTTTATTATAATATCATACATTAGGCGTTTCAGAAGCTCTTGAACCGTCCTGTGCGTTGCAGCACCTTGTTATTAATACTAATACCCATCCGCTCACATGGTCGCGCCCAACTCTTTGGCAGCACCGAAGCGAAGCCCCTTCATTGTAATTTTAGAGGTTTTTTCTAAGTAAAACATATTTATGCTTATTGTAATTTTAAGTGAATCAAAGATAAGCCATCAGCTGCCAAAAACACTCATTAAAAACACTCAAGGCTTCAGCATCATGCTGCACACACACACACACACACTAATCCATTCATGCTTCTGGCGCCACCACCTACGAACACATTGAGAACGAGCGTCTAAAAGCTCGGGTCGAGACGCTAAAGCTTTTTTAAATTCCGCACAAGTGGTATTCTAATATAAAACCGCAAGCTTGACCACAGCGTCTGTTCATTCGGCCACGAATTACGCGACCATTAGAATCGTAACGACGCGACCAAAAAAAAAAGAACGTGCAAACGAATCCTTTGCGTGCGAAAGGGATGGAGTGAGATGTGTTTGCGTGCCTCGTTGCTTCTCCACTGTGGGCGCGATGCTAATATTTTAGGCGCCGAATTTTAATTTGTTTGACATTCAAATTCCTAAGCCCCATATCATTATTATTGTTGCAAACAATTTGGCTCACATACTTGTATGACAACGACAAACGCTTGCGTAATTGTGGCAAATCAGTGAGCATCACGGGCTGTGAGTTGTGTTTTAGCCCCCGAAAATAGAGCTCTGAACGTAGAACTCTAAACGCAAGCGTGACACGCTGTCATTGGATTATAAATTCAATTTTGGTTCGTTTGCGGGTCTGCCATAGTGGCTCAGTTAGTGCTTCGTTGAGCCCGCTCCGATGTGGTTGCATTCAGTCGGTATTAGCTTTAGCCTGCTGCTGCTGTTGCTCGGCACGCTGCAGGGTCGCAGCATCGCCAAATTTGTGAGTCCTACGCGGGACAGCAGTCTAAGTAGCACCATCATTGTAGTGGAAGATGCAAAGGGTAAGATACTATATGCCCAATTTTTTTTTTTTGGTAGCACGGTCAATGTACTGCGTGTGGCTTTTAATTCTGCGTATTAAAGTAATTTGCATAATTTGCAATGTCTTCTAACAATGAGACCTAGTCCCATGTGTTTAAGTCTGGTCCGCTGAGTTCTTGAAAGAAAATCTTCTTGAATATGCAAAGCGGCAATTTTCCAGATAATCTTCTGCGAAGGTTGTTGCCACTTTGCTGCCACCATCGGTGTTGGTGTCGGTGTCGGTGTCGGTGTCACAGCCGCATGATCGTGTAGATCGCAAAGTGTCCGCTGGCGTTGGGGGCATATCGCTTTTGCGACTAACATGACTTGAACATAATTTACAAAATGGCAACGGATGTGGCCCCTTGTAGTAGCAACGACGACGGCAAAAACATGAAGTAACATGAACGTCAAGCTGAACAGTTGTTCGCCGATCTTGGGTTCTGGCCGTGTGGCCGAGTGGAACGCTTGACTGATTTCAGTTTTTGGTGGCAGCTGCAATAGTCGTTTTTATGAGCTCTTCATCGCCGAAGCCGAAACCGAAACCCCAGAATGGCTTAGACTCCGCCTCAGTTTCATTTGGCGATTACGTAATCGATTTGCATGTGAGATTGAGAGTTCGAAACACTTTTTTCCAAATCTCTACATTACAGCCTGCTTCCGACGAGTGCTAGCCGGCAAGCGTATAGCTCCCCATTTCGTGCGTCGTACGATTTCCTGCGAACGCGTGGAGGAGTGCATGCGGGAGTGTGGCCATGAAAAGCGCTTCATGTGCGAGGGCTTCAACTACCGACTCGATCCTTCCGGACATGGACAGGGCGATTGTGAGCTGATCGAGATACCGTTGTCTCAAATGGATCTCTATTCAAGTCCTAATCGGCGCGATTCGAATCTGCTGCGACATCCGGACTATGATTATTATGAACGTGATCGCAATGCTCCTTCCAGTTGCCGGCGCAATTTGTGCCAGGATTGTTCCAAAGGACCGCTAACGAGCAACCCCATATACTTCAAGCCGAGCAGTAGCGGCTGGTCTGATAAGAATTATGGGCCAAGCAGTAGTGGCTATGGTGGAGATGTGGGGCCCAGCAGCAGTGGCCACTACAGACCCAGCAGCACAGCTGTTGATCATTATCGAGGACCTTCGGGACCGCCACAACATCCAAGCTCTTATGAACATAGGCCCTATTCATCGGAATATCATCACTCATCCTCCTCGTCTGGTTCGTACGAGTTCTCCTCCCACGGCTCCAGTTACTTCGACCACACACCTCCAAGTAGTTATGGTGATCATTCTGGTGGACGTCCCGATTATATTGATCGGCACGATTATGGACGTCCTCGGCCAGAACCACTTCCTTATCGACCTGCCAGACCGGATCGCTGGGAGACTCTGCCCAGCAGCTCGGGCTACGATAGTTCTGCATACAGACCTCCACGGCCTGAAACTGATCGCATCGACAAGTACAGACCATCCTATCGGCCAGGACCAGATTATACGCCGTATCGCCCACACGAGCCTAGTAGACCAGGGCCAGGACCAGGACCAGGCCCAGCTCCTGGACACAACTATCTGGACCGGGATGGTCCCAGTGGAAGTTCCTACAAGAAACCAAACAAATTCGTGCCTTACCTAATTGGTGCTGAGGAGAACTGGGGCAACTATGGCGGCAGCTACGGTGGCAGTAACAACAAGCATACCTCATACTGGGGCCTTAGTGATTCACAGAGACGCAAGGATCAGCACGATTTCAATTACTCTCAATTGGGCTTACCACACCGCGACCCACCACGTGAATCGAACTCTGTGATAAGTTACCCCGGATCGAGTTATGGACACTATGGTGGGGACGATGAAGGTAGACGAAGAAACGACTACAGACAACAATGGACTAGACGTCCGGGTCCGGATGGTAAGACGCTAAGCTCGCCATATTTCTCGCTCAACATATCACCTTATCCACATTTTAGAATGCTCGGCCAAAACCAGTGAAGGATTCCGCCTCCACAAGACCGCCGTCAAGCATGCATCTACAGTGCCAACGCTGACCGAGTGCGAGCGTCTCTGCTCCGACCAGAACGGTTTCATATGCCACACCTACAGCTACCGCTATAACCAGGCAGGTCGCGATAACTGTATGCTGTGCGACAGACCCGTCAACATGCTGGATTACTATGTGGATATTGAGCCTGATCGAGACTACGACATCTACTCGATGGCTGACGATATGGCTGTGTGTCGACAGCCAGGACGAAGTGACGGTCCTAGCACGGCACTCGCCAGTCCGCAGAATGCACGTAAGTAGGTGAGGATTGAGGAAACCAGCCGCTTTATTTACTCGATTTCCAGAGTGCTTTTTCCGCGCCATTGATGCCACACGCTTCTTCAAGTCGATTGTGCGGGACTCGCTTACAGTGCGCTCCGTGGGAGAGTGTGAAATGGAGTGCATCAGGTCGACCAAGTTCAGCTGCCGTGCCTTCGCCTTCCGCTACGGACAACAGCGACATGCGGGCGTTATTGACAATTGCCAGTTGAGTGATTGGCCCGTTAGGGATATGGATAAAGAACGGCATCTCATACGGGACGCCGCATTTGATATCTTTGAGCGGGCTAGCTATGGCCATGGCTGTGAGATACAACCCATTGTCGATGAGAAGCACAAGAAACGTAAGCTCAGTTACACCGTTTAATTCCCGAGCTCTACGAATAATATTCTTTGATCCCCAGTGTGTTATCTGGGCTATGGCTCGCCGGCGAAACTGCTGTCGCCAGCCATCAAAAAAGTAATATCTGTGCCCTCGGAAATGGCCTGCAAAAAGGAGTGCATACGCTTTAGAGAAACCACGGCTTTCAAGTGTTACGCCTTCAGCTACGGGTGAGTTGCAGGAAGGTCCTTTTCATTCTTCAATGATTTATTGCCACTAAAACCTATTGCAGCTCGCGGGTCAGCAACTTCAACTGCGAACTCTCTGACCTCGATCAGAGCGAGCTCAAGCTCGATGTGCACTACACCCATACGAAAGATCGCGACTTCTGGCTGTTCGCTTGGAATCCTTTCGATTGGACGTGTCGCGACAAAGTGAACACAATCGGTGGCTCACGTGTGAACAACGATCGACGCATGGATATATTTCGGGAACCGGGTAAACTGAAAATCCTCACCTGTTGCACGTCCATCAGTGTGTAAATAACATGTGCAAAGCAATCTCCCTTCATGTTTATAACCCCAAGCTAGTTTAAGTATCCCCGCCAATCTCCGAGGGCGGTATATGTGTATTTGTAATTAGTTCGTAGTAGAGGCAAATGTAAATAACGTTTGTAAATTATTAGCATGTAGCATGTACAGTTGGAAAATTAACCACCATCCGCCACAAGCAAGACGAATCCAAGTACCCCAAGTACTAACCAACCGTTCTGGGTGTTACGCATGCGTAATGGGCTTCAACCAACAAAAGCCACTATTCCAAACGCATTGTAATTGAATCGCTTCTAAACTCACTTTTCATTCGCATCGACTTATCAAGGGGACGTAGCCTGGCGACATTATACAGTTTCTGGCAAGCCATGTCGTCGTAGCAGTCCCTGCGAGAAGAATCTGATCACTGGTTTCTATTCCTGTGAGACGGATGGTGCTGAAATTGGTTCCTGGGACTATTGCTGCAAAGTGGAGCACCCTTGTGGTTACAGTCGGGGCTTCGACTACCCGTGGTGAGTAGACTATTCCACAGAGCTACTAGTGTTCCCGAGACTAACATGGTCCGATTTCTTAGGTGCTTTGTTGGTGATGAGCCCGACCAGTGGCGGAAGTGTAGCGATCGCTACTATCCCGGCAGCAACAGCACTCACACCACTCATAATAGCATAGCACTGGCTTCGAACAAGGACAAGAAGAAACACCATCCAAATCAACCAGCAACAGCTGCATCCAGTGAATACAATCAGCATCCACCTCGCCCCGGTGGGCTGCAAAGCCTGAGCGATTTCGCTGCGGCTCGCCTGTGGCCTGTCACATATCTATATAGCGAAGGTCCACCCAACGCTACGGAGTTTAGCAACTTCGTCGACTGCAATAAGGAGTCGTGCTAGCACTACGTACTTAGTAGTCGGTTAAGCAAATCAGATTTTCCAATAGATTGTAAGGCCCCTCCCCCATAGGAACAGCCCACTAGATGTACGTAACAATGGCGAAAAATGTTCTCACCGAATCGCCAAAGTCACAATGTATTGCTGTTGTGATTTCATTATGAGATTGGATACCTGTATTCGTTGTGTTATAATCAAACTTAATTAACACTAACTTATTAATTTAAATTTCAAAAAACTTTGCAACAAAAGGCGTGTCTGTATTTAAGTTAAAATGTCAGTGTAGATGTTAATTCTACAAAATAAAGTACAGCGGATGTTAAGTATTTTAAACAACGATTTGACTTCTCACAAATAGAGCTGCAAATTACTTATCAATATTAAGGCCTGTTCTTGTTTTCGATTACTTTCCAAAACTGAAATACTTGTATGTAGTTGTTTAACTCACTTGTTTTTAATTTGGTGTTAATTCGGAAACGAGAGCCTAGAAAGGGTTTTTATATTGGAATTCCTTACAGAATATCTCAGTTTTTTTGCACCTCGATTTTTGATTTGATGATTTAGAATTTTCTTTCTCTTTTATACATACATATGTGGAATGACGGGCTTCAATCTATAGGTCGATAGAAATAAAATTTGATTTTAATTATTATTATTACTATTTTGTAATAATAGTTAACTGATTCTCTAAACTTAAGCTCTACATAAATTAACAGCTAAAATAGAAAATAAAACACTTAGATTCTCCACGGGCTTCTAACATAATTGCATTTCTTTTAATTTTAATCTGTTTTGTTATTTTTATCTCACTGTGTTTATAACAGCTGGTAGAGAAACCCTAGACACAAACCATTTAATGCACAATTGTTTCGTTGCTTTGGCAACTCTGCTTAAACAGCTGATTGGCGGTGTGATAACGAATTGTGCAATAGTCAGATTTAAGAGATTAGTTAATTTAAAATAGTTCAATTAAAGTGCAAGCCAAAATGAGTACCTCTAAAATGCGCAACATCCTGACAATCGGCGCAACGGCTATCAGCGCCTTTTACTTGGGCACCTACACTAACCGCCTGCAGAATAAAGACGACGCAACGGAAGAGGGCATATGTCGCTTACCGGGGCTGCCCTTCTTCAGTACGGTTTCAGCAGCGACGCTTGTGCCGGCGACGCCTGCTCCAGGGGAGGTCAACCTTACAGCGACACCTTCACGCATCTCCCAAATCATGAAATATGGCTTTCCAGGCCTCGACCACGTCCGTAGCCATTCGGACTATGTGTTGTCCTATGATCGGCGAAACAGGGTGCCGCACTGGGTGTTCGAGCATATTACAGCAGACTCCGTGGCCAAGAACGATGCTGTTGATCGCTCAAAATGTGATTTTAGAGCGGACGAGAGCATACATCCCTATTTTCGTGCCCAGAACACGGACTATCGCCGCTCCGGCTACGATCGAGGCCACATGGCTGCTGCGGGCAACCATAGACTGCATCAGAAACATTGTGACGATACTTTCCTGCTGTCCAACATGGCTCCACAAGTCGGCCAGGGCTTCAATCGGGACTCTTGGAACAGATTGGAAAGCTATGTACGCAAACTCACACGCACGTATGCGAATGTATATGTCTGCACTGGTCCTTTATATCTGCCACACAAGGAGGATGATGGAAAAATGTACGTCAAATACGAAGTTATTGGCCCCAACACCGTGGCAGTTCCCACACACTTTTACAAAGTTATTGTGAGTGAGGCGGCGGACCAGAAACTGCACATGGAGGCTTATATTATGCCCAACAAGGTTATCAGCGACGACACACCTCTCCAGGTATTCCAAGTACCACCCGAGACAGTTGAGCGTGCTGCGGGACTGCTCTTCTTCGACCAGATGAACAGAAAACAGCTTGTCAGCGTCAACGGCAAGAAAGTCTGATTCCCACCCAAAAAAAAAAAAGAATCGTTTTTAGTAAATGTAAATATGTATTAGACCAAGAGAAACCGTTTAATGGTTTTCACTCCTTGCAGTTTGTTTCTTTTCCAAAGAATCGTTGATCAATTAAATAAACAATTAATACAGATTTAGATGAAGGCGAGTTGCGCATAGTGCGTGTGTAGCGAAGCGAAGGATGTACATATATATTGGTGCGGGGACAAGTGTGGGTGTTTTCGCATTTACATGCTACCGTCGTTCTTGGAGCGCACGTCGTCGATTTTGAGTATCATCTTGACGAGCTGAGTAGCCAGAAGCAGCTGCTGCTTCTTTGAATTCAGCGATTCGACCACATTGTGCTGCTTCATGTCGGATTCTCCAGTTAACATGCAGTCGACACCCAAGGTAGGCTTCTTTTCGGCCACTTGACTTGCCTTCAGCTCCGACAGCGTTTCAATGGGATGAAGACCACTATTCTCAGCCAAAGCCAAAGGTATACTCTCGAGGGCCACAGCGAATGCTCGGAATGCATACTGTTCTAGCGTAGACAGCTGATCCGCTTCCTTTGCCACAGCTAAAGAGCAGCTGATCTCAGCAGCGCCGCCACCGTAGACAATACGCGAATCCTAGACATGTGGACATTGTATTAGAACTTGATAATGTAAACTTGAATTTGTGGACTAACCTTCACCAAAGAGCGCACCACACAGATAGCATCATGTATGGAGCGTTTGGCCTCAGCGATGATCATTGCATTGCCACCACGCAAGAAGATTGTTACGGCCTTTGAGTTTTTGCACTCCTCAATGACCAGCATTTTGTCCTTCGAAGTTCCGAAAGCTGTGGTATATCGAAAATTTAATTAATAATTTCGCGAAATTGTTTTGCTGTCGGGCATTATCCACCTACCCATTTCACGCACCAACCCAGCCGTGCCCAACTTTTCTGGAGTCAATTCCTCGAAGCGGGGAACAATACGGCCGCCGGTGGCAATGGCGATCAGTTCGATTTCGGGGCCACCGACCCAACGCACAGCAGGCAGTTCTTGCTGCAGCAAGAGATGGTTGGCTTCGTCATCAAAGCCCCATTGGCAGATGGCCAAAGTTGCTCCGGCATCCTTCACTTGCTTCACCATCTGGGTAAATTTCTCTTGCTCGTATTCGCGCAGCGCCCGATAATCTTCGGCAGATGTGACATCCAACTTATGCTTGGTCTTGGGCTTTGGGGGCTCAAATGGGCAGGTGAGTATAGCGAGCTTCACATCTTTCAACACCTTAGGCATTTGTGAGTGGCTCATTGTCTTGTCGACGACAACGCCCTTAACCAACATGGAATCTTCCATGCGTCCACCCACTTTGGTCTCGATCTTGATTAGCTCAAAGTTAACGTCCTTCTTCTCAATGTCCGCCACATTTAGCACAGCGTCAACGGCCATCTCAGCCATCTGGCGATGACATTTATTCACAATCTTGCTACCCAGTGTAGTCATAGCAATCTGAATGAGTGGCTCCTTGTTGTTGGGATCAACTGGGAAAGGCTCGGCAATTGAATCCAGTTGTTTGATTGCGCACTGTGCTGCCAATTCAAATCCATCTGCTATACGAATCGGATGAATGCCACGATCAATCAAGCCCTCAGCCTGCTCAAGTAACGCTCCGGCCAGCACTACAACGCCAGTGGTGCCATCACCGATTTCATCGTCCTGCGACTGCGATAGCTGCACCATCAACTTGGCGATCTCGTGTTCGACCTCCATCAGCTTCAGAATGGTGGCGCCGTCATTGGTAACCGTAACATCACCATCCGAACTCACCATAATCTTGTCCAGACCTTTAGGTCCCAGCGATGTTTTTAGCGTCGAGGCAATTTGACGGGCCGCCATTATGTGCGTCTGTAAATAAAATAAAATCAGTCGTTTTCGTACATACATACATACATAAATATAGTTAAAACGCGTGCAGCTTTTTGAATGCGCGTGACTCAGACGTGACGACGCCGCCAGTGTCCAAACATCTGTGCGGCGTGTTAACCTCAAATTTAAAATTGACATCTGGTTGCTTTAGAACTTTAAAAACGAGGGTATTTCGAGTAAAACTATCCATCTTACTTCCTTTGAAAGTGCATTTGTCTGATGGTGCATTGATGCTGCTTAAAATTCTAAAATGTGCATAGTTTGTATGCCGGCTGCAAAGAACATCTGGAACATTCGACAGTCGATGCGTCATTGTTTATGCTACAAAAGTATTTTATTGCACCTTTGTGTGTTCCCTAGCGCCTCAATTAAAACTGGACACCTCCAAAATGTATGTCCTTTTCATTTTTACAAGATATAAGGAGATTTATTACCTTGATGGCATCTGTGCCTGTGATGCGTTTTTGCCGCTCCTGGTCGCGCAATATGATAAAGGGCCGACCATATTCGTCAAACGCGAACGTTCCCGGAAAGCCGCTCATGGTTTTTTATTTAAAAGGGCTGCAGATTTTTACGTATTTTACAGATTAAATTTCGCTTTTCACCGACACAACGAAACGCACAAATGACAACCGATAAACTATAGATGCCAGTCTATCGTATGATTAATCACGACTTCTATGCACCACTAGGGCTGTGTTTTCAATACAACTATCGATAGTCGCACAAATTTTTGGGGGAATAATTTCTGAACAAAATGCCTTATGTATACAAATTGTGCTCTATAAAATATTTCATGAGCTAGAGACGATTTTTTTTTCCATCAGCAGATAAACAACGAATTCTGTACGGAATTCAAAATATTCATCAACAAATAGTTATCGAACCCTCACCCCACGCGCCCACGCCACTGGATAAACATTACGACACTGCTCCCCTCTATAAAAAGGCCAGCTCGTGTCTCATTTTATGTGTGAAAAGTGAACAGAGCGTTTCAGAGTTTTTATAAAGGCTTAACCTCCCATCAAGTTTTTCTTCAACAAAACTTCTTTTTGTTTTTATTTTAATTTGTTCTTTGTGCGTTAATTTGCAACCATTAAGTGTGAAAATGCCATCAAATATGAATAATAAACTGTAAGTAATGGCACCAAGGCGCCATTAGAAGAAAAATAGTGCAAAAATCGATTTTGTAGTGAACAAAAAAAAATAATTGTGAGCAGGTACCGTTGCAATTGGTCCCTTCCAATTGGTGGCATACAAGAAATATATTTTGGTTGTAAATAGTTGTTTAATGGTTTGTAGTGCAATAGTTCTGATGTATTTTACTAACGAAATTCGGTCGGTGGTGGTGTAACATTTTTAAAGTATTTTTATCATATTTTCCAATTAACGGTGTATATGTATGTGTGCATCGCTCGCGCACGCATGTAGCAAAATTCCAGCGAAAAAAAGAATTCATTTCAAATGACGAACAATTCGTAAGTAAAGTAAACGATTAGTTTCAAAAAAGATGCGAATGTGTTTTTTTGAAATTCGATTTTTTACTTTATTTCTTTTTAAACATTGTGTTTTTCTCTTCGTAAATTTTGTTTTTGTTGTTATTGTGATGTAGCTGCAGCCATATTGGCTTTGAGGTTGCCACCCTGTAAAAAGCGAAAATGTAACCCAATTAACGTAAAAGAAGAAAATAAACAATAACTGCAGTAAATTATACTTTTGTAAAGTTGACGATGCGCTAATGCTGTTGTGTGTGTGCTTTTGTTCTAGTTGCTTGTTAACATTTCATGAGCCTGGCAAGCACAACGACATCCATACGCACATACATTTGTACACAAATTGTCTGATTTGACCCCTTCCAATTGGCAATGCATGTGTATGTGTTTTGTCGTATTCTTTATTTATTCAGCATTCCCGCACTTTGCTTCTAAACGTCTTTTTCCAGTGATGTTTTTGATTAACTCTACCTTCAAAAGGCCAGCAAAGCATAACAGCAATTTACTTCTGTATATGCACATATACACGCATACACAAATATTTATATATACATACATACATACATATGCATTCATTTGTAATGTAATTGAAACAAAGCGCCGTCGTGCAGTCGAAAACAAATACAGTTCGAGGTGAAAATTGCGGACTTTCATCGTAACGGGCTTATATACATACATATGTATGTATGTATGTACATACCTACTTACATCATATGAAGGTAAATAAAATGAAATGTTGGGACTATTCCACCCCCCAAAACAGGCCTGTGCGCTTGCCTGCCTGTGTGTGTATATTGCTTGGAAGCTTCTGGACTGTTTGAAACAATTGTCAGATGTCGCTTACGGCACAATTGCACATACATACATATGTATGTATTTAGTACACATTATTAATTGTTACGTTCAGTTTTAAAATGTGACTTTTATTATAGGTATATACATATGTATGTATGTACGTACATATATGTATATGTATATATGTACATTAGTCTCTGCCTTATCTGCTTGTCGTATCCGAATAGTAGTCAAGTCTGGGCTGTTTGTTCTCTGTTATCTCGCTGGCAAAAATAAACAAACAGGTTGTATATACATACATATGTACATATGTGCATATGTATAAGATGTGTTGGTTCTCTGCTGCTCCCCGGCCAAGTTCTTGCAGCCATCTCAGTCCCGTTCGACTAAAATATATAACTTATAAACAACAAGTTATTGTTACTGAGAGCTAAATGGAGGCCGACCGGTTTGTTTGCTGCGCCATTTTATTTTTTTTGCTACTTCTGCTGAGGCTTTTTTACAGTTTTCATATTTGTAAGCCTACGTGACTAACTTCATAGTGCACTGCAATGCTGAAGTGCTACTGATTATGCGGAATTAAGATCGCCAACATCAGCAGATTCATGTGCTCCCCTTTCATTCCTTAATTTTATCATAAACGAATTGTATAGAGTGTAGGCAGTCTGGCTGACAAAGGAGATTGCAGGAACACTCATACATCCATACACATATGCATACAATACTCACAAACACAGAAGAATCGAACAAACAACGGAAAATTCCACTCGTTGTATGGTACACCACTAAATGGGTACACAGATAAATATCCGGGCAGCCATTATTTATTTATTTTTTTCAAATGATATTAGAGATCACTGATTGAGGTTGGGTGTAGCCTTTCACATTATACATGCATATGCACATATACACATACTTGTACATACATATGTAGGCACATAAATGTGCAAATATTGTTTAGCAACTCATTTTATTGACATGTAATTCCTCAAGCGCAATATTATTAATAATAAAAAGTTATAGTTTCATCATGTGGCGATGCTTGAGTGTGTTAGATCTAGATTCATTTAAACCTTATCGCTATCAAATGCGCACAAACTGCTTCTTTTCTGTTTATAGAATTTGTAATCTTATCACAATCATCTTATCGCACCCTATAATTATTACCCTAATATAAAGTGCTTGTGTTTACTTTTGTGTCAGCTTTAAATCCCCAAATTGTTTGCATGTATATACATCCATACATACATACATATACATAAGTAATTTATGTGTATATAATAACCGTATGTACACATGCATGTATGTATTAGCAGAATGTTTACTTATAGCAGAGGTTTTTCAAGACAGATTTTTAAAATGAAACGGGCATCACATGCACAGCAATGTTTACCCACAGATTCATTTTAATGCAGTGAGTTGAAACTCTTATTTGACGTTGTTACACAGATGACCTACATACTTAGGTATTAACACTATTTGTCACTGTAATAGCGTAATTTCCGTTTATTTACTATATCTTATCTAAAACATATACATATGTATGTATGTATGTGCATACAACAACCCTACAATGTATTCACTGTTAGCTTTTCGAAAAGTTCTAGAATTTGACTGTAACTCTGCTTGGAAACAAAGCATCCACAGAATAAATTTGATTAAGGTCAACTACCCAATGTCGGATAGTAGCTACGGCACTTAAAAATTATTCAAGACTTTATTATTCATACGACTTAGGCCTGGTCAAATAGATGCTCTACTTGTGCCTTGTTTCATTTCTGAGGTAATCAACTCTTTTGGAGAGGTGGAAAGTCTGCAATTTCCTACAATTCATGTAACAGAATTGTTTCACTGCTAATAATAATAATAATTTTTAAATTATATTTATTTGTTATATTAATTCGCCAATATATATCTTTTCTGAAGATGACTAGATCCAGTTTCTCTTTATGCTGCTTAAAAATATATATTTATACATATAGTATGTATGTACATATACGTCTTATGGAGTCAATGTTTCATTTAGCGTGTTGCTTACTTTTTATAAAGCAAATGTAACCTATTTAATTTTCGGGTAAGGGGTACAAAGAGAAATATAGTATATTAATATTAAATAATCAAAGAAAACTAAACATTTACGTTTCCTCCTTCCTACATAGCAAATAATTTGTTATTGAACCTAGCCAACACTATCTGAAGTATATTTTTATAGTTATTATTGAAATTTGGAAGTTTGTTATTTCACTCTCTCCATATCTCAAGTGGTCGATAATCAAAAAAGCTCCAATATCATTAAACTGTTGTTTTTATTGTTGTGCGATAAACTAAACAATTGCTCAGACAAGCGTCGCATTTCTTGGTGGTGTTTGTCACGTGAGCTATGCCTATATTTAAATTCAATTAAATCAAATTTAGTTAATGCGTATTCGTTTTTATACATACATCATACATACATATAAAGTTCGCATTACGGGTCGTGTCAATAAACGTGATGGCCTGCCGACGGTTGGTCATAAAATACATACAATTATATTAGTACATATACATACATACATATGTATTTGCATCAATTCTGACGAAATCTGATGGCAAGTGTTACTAATGCCTAATAATTATTGTGTTTATTTTTGGAAAATATAAACGCATGTCCACTCAGACTTCTAAATCATTTTTGTAAAATAATATGTTAACTTATTATCAGGTATGGCACGTGCCCATTTATTTCACATGCGATGATTCCAATTTTTTAAATGCTTGCAATGAACGGAGGAGACTACTAATGGCTTTTGAACACGTAAAAAACACATTTCCCATGATGCCAATTACCGTACCCATGTTGGAGACATTCAAATAATTAAATTTGGTAAACAGAAAGAAAGAAGAGAGGCAGACAAAAGCAAATGTATTGTTTGTATTCAAGTATTTTTAGACTGCTTGGCCAAGCGAAGACGTCAACAAATTTTAATTTGGTTTTTCTATACATGTGTAACCAATTACACATGGTGTACATAGGTATTTAATTATTTGTTGTGAATTAATTTGCCAACAATGTGTCTCGAGTAATTTATTTGCATATCCTGCACACTCACAGTCGTAAATTAAAAAATTATTATTATTCTTTTTTATTTATTATTAATTATATTTTTTATTGAATCAAATTAAGTATTCAATTTGTAAAGCATTTCCGCTTTATTTGATTCCATAACAAATTTAACCAGTCTTATTTGGGAGATGCTTAAAAACAATTTAGTCTTTCGGATACATAATATATACATATTTGATTCAAATTTCATGTTAAGCATTATTAGATGTTTCCTTTTCATGCGACATCCTTGGGTTAGGCCAGTAGGCAGGTAAATAATTATATAATAATTATTATTCAATTAGGCACACAAATAAAAGTAGTAAATTCCTCTAAGAGGCCAACTGTACCTGTTTTATCTCGCACCCGTGTGCCACTATTTAACTACAGCGCATTCATTTATAGGCATGCATATGTTTTTAGTATATCAGACGGAGCAGCAACTAAATCTTTTTTGAATAATGTATACACGTACCTACTTATACATATAAATGACGCAGCCACGAATCGGGCCTTGTCAGTCGCCAGACAAACGCTCAACGCTGTGCCTCGTCGAGAAGCAAAAGCTGAAAATCCAATTTGTTGTAAAAAGCTAAAGTCAACAAAAACACAAACATTGAAAAACGTCTCATCAACGGTATCGATGTGAACTTTTAACCACTAGAAAAGCAAACCCGTAACCGAACTGTGATAACGTAAACAGCAATTGACATACACACCTGAATTTAAAAAGAGAGACAGGCACGTCAAAAGTTGCCGCATAACCTAAGCTGTGATAAATTTGCATACAAAAATAAATTAGTTAACATACGCGTACACATATATAGCCGTGAACTTGAGGTCCCACAAGAGTCTGGAGTCATGAGTGGAATGGCTAATATCCAGCAGCAGCAGTGGGCCGACTCCACCTCCACGCCAGAGGGCCAAGAAGGGTAGGTTTTGATGCAGCACCCCAACCAACCAATCCCACTTGTATGATTCAATTTAGTTGCCTTCATAATCATCATCATAAACGTTGTCATAGCTACACTGAATGTCCATTTAATTGCACACGCCATCGATTAAAATGTTCTTCATTTGTGCCTTGAATAAATTGCATTGCATCGTCTGTTGACGTGGATGTTCAATTGCCCTTCAATAGGCGTAGATTAATAATGCGAGGATGGTTTGGATGTAAGAACGCAGTTCATCATATTTTCTATTTCGTCACGTGACATTGAGAGTGCTGAGCCGGTTCTTGCTTTAGTAGTTTGTGGTCTCAAAAGAATTTTATTTCTCTTCATACATACTACATAAATATGTTTGTATGTATGTGGGCACCCCTCTTTGCCGGCAACGAATTCGTTCTCAATTTTAAATGCTGTGCCAAGTGCGCAGTTTGTTGTTTAATTGACTTAAATAAAGTCTGAAAAAATACGAGCATTTTTAAACATACTATATACTATATGTATACATACATACATACATATTGCGGCAGTCAGACGGTCAACCGGCAAATGATATAGTATTTGACTCAGGGAAATGAGGTCGGCATGTGGTACTCAAAAAAATCTTTTTTTTAATAAATATTTGTGCCGTCTTTTTTAATGTTGTTTACTAATATTGATTGTTTAAATATTGTCAGCCAGATTCAACAGCGAATAAATGAATAAAGAGAGCTGTCCGTCGACAGTCCAGATACCAATTTAATACTGTCATGGAATTGCTCTCTTTGTAGATATTCGGCAATTCGCAACAAACTAAATTGAACCACTAATTCCCAACTAACAAAATAACACAACCAAGTGCTTGTGATCCTGTCTGACCTGTTAATGTCCTTTGTCCCATCTGAATGGCGAATAGCGAAATGAAGAGAGCTATCCGTCGACAGTCCAGTTATTCAGATTTTAATACTGTCATGGAATTGCTCTCTTTGTATAATATTCGAAAAGCGGCCACTTTTTTAGAGTATATTTTGTATAGTAGTGTAAATGGTGTTGGGATCATTACTCAATTTTCTAAATTAAAAAAAAACTTAATTTCATTTCTTATTTCATGGATTTTTCTTCTATAATTCATGTCATAAATTTTCTCTGCTTAGGAAACACTTCACAAAAGTAGATCTTTAACATGGTATGTTTATTCCCGCCCACTAAAATTAATGCCTTAAATAATACAAAAGCGTGGTATGGTGATCCACGTTGCGTCGCCTTATCTGGTACTTCACAAGCCCCCGCGTCCACGTCCGCCTGTGGGTCCACCTTGCCAAGCGCCGCGTCCACTACCACCAGGCCCTCCGGGTGGACCGCCGCGACCACCACTACCAGGTGGGCCGCCGCCTCTTCCTCGCCCGCGTGCTGTAAATGAACGATTTTCAAAATTCCTGTATAATTAAAGTATTTCGTAATAAAAACTCACCCTGTGCGCGGAGTATCGCTGCTTTGCCGCGTCCAGCCGTCCCACCAAGGCCTTTGCCGGTTTGCTTCTTGAACATTGGCGCGTTTTTCAACATGTCCGGCAGTATGAGAAAGCGAATCTTAGAGCCTCGAATGTACACATTCTCCAAATTCGAAGTACGTCCGTCGCGATAGGTCACAGTTATTTGTGTCATTTGGCAATTCATATTATCCTCGGCTTCTATTAGCTTGCCGCGGTACACTTCACCGGTTATAGTTTCACAAGTGATTATATGGCCCTCGGCCTCGTGCAAAACTTTAATTGGTACTCCAATCGACATATTTGGTTGAATTCAGCAGTTTTTCTTTAGTACTTTTAAATAGTTTATTGATTTTACCGCTGTTTTTAATGCCGCAATCTTTTTTCACTCCCTTTCGCACAAACGTTTATGAATGAGTGTGTATGTGTGCGCTTTGACAGTTGCCTCGGACCGCCATGCTGTGGTGAAAAAGTCTGACAGCGCGCATGGTTGTGTTTCAAGCTCATGTTTGCATGCCGAAATTATCGCAGCCATCGTTCTATCGCATTGTTATCGCTGCGCGATTCAACACATTGTTGATAACAACGTTCCAATCTTGTATAAACACTTAAAAAATGTCTGCGTCACTCAAGCGTAGAAGATTAATTTCGTGCTTTGTTTCTGATAAGCATATTTCACGCTATAGCAATCAATTACTTGTCAACTTTTGCACCAGTAGCTCGTGTCAACGCCGCAGCAGCCGCCACCAATTGTCTAGGAAAAATGATTCGGTAATTTTGGAGTACTACAAAATCGACTGGAAATAATGAGGGCTTTTGAAAATATAATGTTGGATAATATTACGTTTAAATGCTTACTTTCTTAATTGCAGCGACCCAATGTTTAGTAGTAGTATCGTTAGAAGAGAGTTTAATGATAGTGGAATTGCTGGATGTGCTGATGGTAAATTCCGCACCATCTCGACTTCGTCTTGCGCCACCAACATGTCAACTGACTCTTACCGCATCTCTCTCGGTGTAGGGCCTCTGTGGTGGTCCTGATGTCCCTGTCCACCACAGAACAGATCACGATAGGGCATCGCTCTTAACGGGTGAGTATGCACAACGAAATCAAATTCCCATGTGCTTTAAGAAAATAACAATTCCAATATTCATTTCAATCGCTACTTTGCAGGCTATAGCCGTAAGTCCTCGGTCGACTCGGCTGGTGGCAGCTTGTTTCACGCCAATTCTGGTTCATCGTCATCATCGTCCTCATCATCGGAATGCTCCGACTCCAATAACGACATCCACTCGTTGTATTCGGAAGACGATTGCCAGGAAGTAGTGCGCCAGATCTTGCAGCATGACCAGCCCGTGCAAATTTCCATCAAATTGCACGTTACCGAAGATCAATACACCAATTGGATGTCGATTTTGAACCCGGTCAACAATATGCTGTATGTCGCCCTTCCCATGGATCTACCACCAGCTGGTTCAAAGCAAACCTTCATCTCATTGTTGGAATTCGCCGAGGACAAGTTGGAAGTAGATGGAATCGTTTTGGCTATGAGCAAGAATCAACCTGATTGCGCTCGTTTGATTGAAGCATTTCTGTTCATGGGATTCGAGCCGCTGTCGAGGAAATCACCAAAGGCACCACCAGCTGCCGCCAATGATAACGAAAACTACTATTTTCTATATACAATCGAGGAGTAAACGGAAACGTTGACAATTGTTGCGCATCACGCAAATTTCAGCAACTGCTAAACTCAATATAAAATCATATTAACTTACAATAATCAATTTATCTGGCATCAATAACAATTTAAAATTTCAATCAGTAGATTATCAAAACAATCGACATATTGACCCCAATGTGTTCAATGAAAGTAAAAGATTTAAACCATAGTTGTCTCATCATATACCAAATTGTTACAAATCTGTGAACGCGCCTTTATTCATGGTAGTTTTTCGATTATGTCGCGTCTATTAAAAAAGAAAAGAGGAAACTTTGCGTTAGCCACGTTAAGAGCAAGCTTAAATTGTCGTATATTATTACACAATCATAATCAAAAAAAATATAAAAAGTAAAAAAAAAATACAAAATCAAAAAAAATTAAAAAAAAAATTATACTTAGTTTAAAACCCAGATTCCATTGAGCTGCAAATGTAACTTTATCTGACATTTTAATCCTAAGATGTCTGCACAAAACGCGGTTAGTGATTGAAAAGCCAGTTGTAGATGCGGTTGTAACTCGATGGAAGAAAGGGGGAAGTTTATTTGTGAATTATTATTTAACAATATTTATGTATTTTCATTGTGTATTTCTTTTTCTTTAATTTTCCACACAAATTTATGTAAATTGTACTTTGTTATTAAATATTTTCCCTTAAGCAAGCTACATTCAAAATCCCAAGATTAAGAACATTTTATATAATTATACAAGTACGAGAATAATATTCGCTAAACACACCTTTTATCTACATACATAATACATACATATAACACATTTATCAAGCAAATACATATACAAAAATAGATCTATAGGAATACGAGTAAATAAACTTTCAAATCAATAGATAACACCAGCAAGCAATAAGAATTAGCCTTTTTCTTTTTATATTGTATGGTTTAAATGTTCATGCAATAAACTATATATACTATATGGGCATTTCCACAGAAAAGTCCACCATGACCGAAAAATTAAAAGTTAACTAACAGTTTTTCTTTACATGCAATATTAAAGAGAAATGTTCAAATTTTATTAAATTAAAGAGTTCAAAGCTCTACCTAGTTGCGATGGCGAAATATAGGCCTACAAAGTTCAAGTTCAGGGTTTTGGTCAGCTTTGCATATTTTAAGAGCATTTTATCTTTACCATTTACGATTGTAAGAGTTATTGTGAAACTGCGCTCTTATTGCAAAATGCTAGCTACAACAACAACAAACCTTGAAACAAATGCAGAAGAGCAAACAAATATCAGTTAACGGTAAATTTTTAGATTTGCTTTTACCCATCTGCTAATGTCACGTAACGTCAGATAAAGGGCATTTATTCTCATTATTCCTACGTTGGTGATCGCAAGTGCGTGAAAATTTGAAATTTAACAAAGCTTAATAAAGTTAATTAATTGTAATAAAAATATCCGAAAGAAAGCAAATAGTTATTTTTATATTGATTTTCAAAAGTGTGTCACGTAACGTCAGATTGTAAGTAATTTCATTGAATGGTATTTTGTTTATTTTCAATTTACTTCCAATTACCGTTAATGCAGATGGAATCATCAATTAAAGGTAAAATTTACGCAAAACGCTATAGGCAAAAAGTAAAATCAGATTTGCTTAAGCTGGAGATAAGCCGTGAAAAGGCAAAGGAAAGAGCATCCAGATTCAGGCAAAAATTATTGGAATCAAACAATAGAAAAGAAAAAGTAAAAGAGAGCAACCGCCAAAGGCAACAACAATTCCGGGAGAAAAAGAAGAATGAAGGTCAAATGAATGTCAGTACGCAAGTCAATCAGCCCTACAGATGCAAACAAACCTTAGGAAAGGCTTTAAATAAAGTGAAAGCTGCTTTGCCGGTAGACCAAGAGAAACGAGCACAGGTCGTTGATATACTTTATAGAAAATATAGAACACGTGCTCCATCACCTTTGCAACTACAGACTAAATCGTCAATACAAGGAAAAGAGCAATTTATTAAAGAATTTTACTTCCGCGACGATATCAGTTTCCAATCTGCTAATCGAAAGGATACATTAATCGTTGAAGGAGAAATAGTGACCAAGCGTTTTATGTTGCTGACAGTTTCTGAAGCGTATGAGATATATAAAAGGGAGAGTAATATTGAGTACGTTAGTAAGTCAAAATTTTATGAATTGCGACCAAAACATGTACAACTTTCATCTAAAATACCACATAACATGTGCGTCTGCAAATACCACGCCAACTTCGCATTTACTTTGCAAAGCAGTGCAGAATTAATAAAATCATTTTCATCAAATTTGGAAACTTTTCTTAAATCTGCCTGTTGCAACATTAAAAACGAAAAATGTATGACGAGTAATTGCAGAAAATGTGTAAAAAATGTGAAAAATGATTTAGTACCTCTCAAATATTTTTCAATAATGGATGAAACCATTAGATGGAAACATTGGCGCAAAGTCGAAGACCGAATTGCTTTGACACATACCGAAGGTTCTCTTTCCGATCTTTTGTTCGAATTAGATGCACAATTGCCCTTTTTTAAACGCCACTTTTTTGTTAAACGTTCCCAACAAAAGTATTTTGAAACAAAAAAAAAACATTTGACCGCAGAAGATCTAGTCCTGCAAATTGATTTTGCAGAGAACTATAGGTTAATATATCAAAATGAAGTACAGAGCGCACACTTCAGTTATCGCCAAGTTACCATTTTTACTTGCGTTGCTTGGTTTATTGGCGAAGTAAAGTCCTATGCCATCATTAGTGACAAGCTCAGCCACAATAAGTACGATGTATGCTGCTTTTTAACAACACTTGTGAATACAATCCAAAAAGAATATGGACAGTTTCAAAATATTTATATTTTTTCAGATGGGTGCACCTCCCAATTTAAAAACAAGTTTATTGCACGAAGTTTGCCTGATTTCGTTTGTGAATTTGGTTGCAAGGTTCTAGAATGGAATTATTTTGCCACTTCTCACGGCAAAGGTGCGGTCGATGGGGTAGGAGCGACAATAAAACGGAAAGTTTGGCATACAACAAAAACTAAAAATATAATTCTTGACGATGCCTATTCCTTTTATAAATGTGCTCAAAGTAACATAATTGGGATTAGATTAATGTACATTTCCTCAGAGCAGGTAGAAAGGTTTTCAACTTTCTTGTTTGAAAAGTGGCAGGAGTTGCCGAACATACCTGGTATACACCAGATTCATTTTATATCTAGCGGCGAAGGCTTGCAAATAAAAGCAGCTGAAACTGCATTTTCAACCACCATTTTTACATTATAATACTTATGTATAATATATATATTCATTCAATCATTTATTCTAATTTCTTTTTCTATTCTAATAATCACATTGAATTACAATAAAAATCATGTTTACCATTTTTACCTCTTATTATGTTCTAGTAATCATTATATAACAATAAAAATCACTTTCTTACAACTAAACTTGCGTTAAATAATGTTTTAAAAACAATCTTAACTACAAATTTACCAAAGGAAATTCTGTCACGTAACGTCAGATAACGTAACGTCAGACGATAATTCCAATTTAAAAAAAAACGAGTACAGATTTTTTAATTATATAACTTGAATAATAAACTTATATTTATTTAAAGCCTTCTGAAAAAAATTCAAGCAAAAAGTCCTTCCCAATTCGCAGAGTTTTGCCATTTTGTAATCCAAGTAAAAACCCACTTCCTTTTTTAGTAACGTAACGTCAGGGCCTATTTTTGCTTATATCTTATAAACTTAAAGGTCAAATGCTATAATTTTTTTACCGCGTATAGTGCTATTAGACTACTACTCAACTATAAAAAAAACTTTTTAAAAATTTCACTTTTTCATTAATTTATTTAATATTTTGTCGTACGAATGTCACATAACGTCAGATTGGAAATGCCCATATATAATATAACGACCAAGTTTTAGTGGTTTTTCTGCTGCATTTTAAAAAGGACGGAGCGGGATGTAAATTGTTGTAGAATAAATTTGGCCCGTGCCGCTCTATCATCACGTGTCATGCTCTCTTGGATCATCCGAGTTCAAGCTGAGCTCAAAGTTATATATGTACATTTATGGTGAAACTATTTCAGGGAAATACATTACATGCCCCAGCTCTTTGGCTTCAATTTACGAGCGATAAAATGCACATATGTGTATTATATAGCCCGGGCTCGGCATCGTCGTCTGTTTGTTCAGTGGCTGTTCAAGTCATATATAAGATAACGATATAACCAGCAGCGGAAGGGTTTCCGAATACAGTCGGCATTTAGTAATTGAAGCGGTTGGACGTCTGTGCAGCAAGATATAACGCAAAACCAGATATCACAATTCCAGAACAACTAACAATGTTGAAGGTGGTAAGTTGAAATGTGGAGTGGAACGCCGCTGTTATCTTATCCGTAGCAGCAATAATAATAGCAACAACTGCAGATAGCAATAGCAACGATTCAATCCTTCCCGCTATAATATCTGCAAATTTAATAGAATGTGCGTATGTAAATTTATTCACAGCTTTTTATATTCACCGCGTTTCTGCTGGCCGTTGTAGTGGCTTCGCATAATCAAGAATTCCAAGGCCACCGCGGCGATAGGCCACACCACAAACGACAAATCATGCAACATGGCTCACATCCTGTCGAGCACGATAAGCAGCACGGTCGGCAGCATGAATATTATAAGCATGGAAGATTGGAAGTCCAGAAGCCTCATCACCACAAGGGCCGCGATGCAAAGAAACATCACAAATCCTCCCACCAGCATCAGCAACATCATGGCAAAAAGCACCAAAATGGACAAGTCCATGAGCGCAAACATCATCAGAAACGCCATACAGGCTCGCTTCTTCGATTCTAAGCGAATTACTCATATAGCCCTAACTCAATAATAAATCTATTGTATTTCCCAAAGTTTATACATAATATTAAATAAGTAACATTTTCGGCGAAATTTACAATCGTTGTTCGTTGCTTTTATGGACCACATTCGCAATCATCGTTAGCCTCCGACCTTTTATGGCGTCGCGTCGGGCAGATGTCGGACTTGTGTGTGGTCGTAAATCCAAATCATAGGTCTAGGTGTAATTACGCGAACGCTTGGCTAACTCTCTGGCTTACTTTTCTTTCTTGCTGTTGTTGTTGGCGGCAAGCCACTTTACGAGTATAATTGTTTCCAGCTTCTCCGAATGTGTTTAACAGTTTTACAATCCGGTTTTTAGTAAGTGCGAGCAAAGAAACAAAATTTAATAACAATATAAAGCGAAATTTTTTTGGCCACCGGTGTTAATTGTTGGGGTCAAAAGCACCTCTGACGTCATCACAAATGAAGCTGAATGAACTTGTGTTGACTGACACAGTTGCCGTTCAAAAGGGTAAAAGCAGGAACGTCTTTTTTGGCGTACTTAAACAAAACATAAGAGCTTCAGTTTCTTCGCTAGACAGCAATAACTTTTTTTTGCCTTAGTGTGTCTAAACTAGCTAGTCTTTTGCATTTGCATTTGGTTACCCATGGTCAAGACTCTTTCTAAGGCATAGGTATGGTAACCAAGAAGAAACCTCGATGATGAGAGAGCATATGATGTAGTAAAGATGGAAACAGAGAGTCGAACGATTCGGATTCGTCTCCCTTCCACTTTTTAGGACAAACGAACAAGTTTTGATATAATTTTAAAGTAAAATAGGTGTGCGTATATTTTATCCTTATTGTATTATTAGTATGGTTACGTTACAATTGTGTTTAATCATTCATCATATATTCTGGATAAGCTTAGCCCCACACAGGATATATTGGACGACGATAATAGCGACCATAGCTGCCATATCCTCCATATCCACCATACCGCCAGCTGCCACCGTAACCTCCAATACCGTATGTGCGTCCGTAGTACAAAGGCAAGGGTGCAGCATAATATCCATAGCCAATAGAATCAGCAGTCTCTAGGTCAGCTCCACTTTCTGCCACAGTTTCCGGCGACGAAACATTCTATTTTACAACATACATATGTATGAATGTTATTTGTGTAGTTGTCAGAAAATATATATTGGTTCTTACCTCCGCAGGGACGGGATCAGCTTGTGCTATTGCCAGGAATAGAATCAGCACGCTTAGGCACACAAATAATAACTAATTAAAAAAAAGGTAATCCTTTTATTTACAGATTTTGATGAATTTACCGCAAAAATACCTTGTCCATGGCGAATAAATTGTATGAATGATCTCACAATATTTTTTCCTGCGTCAAATTAACACCTTTGAGGGTTCTTGTTAGAAACGCTGTTGTTGATAAACTGCGATCTGGATCAACTGTCCCACATCTTTTATAGTCGCGATTTCAAACATAAGCCAATGAGATTGATTTTGCACATGATCATTGATAAGTCAAATATTAATCTGTAAAAGTCATTAGCATTAGCCCTGAAAATGTTTGTATTGAATATCAGGCAATGTATATTGTCTTATAATTATAATTTAGCGTACCTTTATGGACTGCCGATATCGGTTACAATACACGTATATGTACAATAACAATATTTTTACAAATGTACAATGATGTCTATAGACGCTTCCGACATGTTGCCATCCGTCTAGCTAGTGGTCTCAAGACCTAACAAATTTTAACTAATCCAATAAGGAGTATGCAATTGTGCATCAAGACAAGATAAATGCATCGCCAATATTCAGCTTCTAGAAAGAAAAAACCTGGGAAATCTTAAGGAATGCTTATGATGGAAGATTTAGAAGCAAAAAGCATGAAAGAATACGATAACAAGCGAAGTCTGGAATTTCACTTAATAAGTTTCTGTTGTTTTCATACTACGAACACAAGTCACATGAACAGTGTATAGAAATGTAATTGAATAAGGATTATTAAATTTCTTGTTCAATGATAGATTTACATCATCATTATACATAAATATATGAGAATATCAGAAGGTAAAGGGAGGTCATAAATACACCAAGTAAATAGTAAATAGCAATGACGACTCCCTTAAGGCAAACCTATGTATATACATACATATGTATGCCAACACACGATGTGGTTTCTATGTTTACCCATTACTACGATTATTTGGCAATGCGTTTTACAAGAGGTTACCAAAACATTAGGATGTTCTGCTCTACTTTTGCGTTAGTAAATATTTGTTAATGTATATGTATGTTTTCTCAAAAAAATGTTTCTAATTAATATGGCAAACAGTCATTTTTTGATTACGCACTATAGAAGTTAATCATTCATTTTAATGATTTGATTAGCGTCTTATTGGGGGAATTTTGTTGCCTGACAATACCTGAAATATATATGCAAATATATGTGTATTTTTATAAATATTGTTTATTAATAAACAGCACTCGTTTTCAAACAACGGTTAAGATTATGTTGCTGCAAAAAGTAGCATAGCGGATAGGCATATCGATTAAACGCGCAGGTATCGATATCGCCTTTCCAGCACACCTCTAAAAAAAATGTCTGCCTCTGCCGCATCGAAACGTTTGCAGACCGGGAATATTTTCACTATAATATTTGCAAATATATCGAATTAAATTGATCAAAAAAGTACAGTTCGTATAGAACTCCGCAATATTCGTGGTTTTAACTATACTGCGTGAGTGCGGAGAACGGACTTTTTGGGGAAAATCCAAGTGAAAATTACAGTGCGGCGACAGCATCGGCCGCAGCTGTCTAGCAAATTTTTCGCGCTGCGTTGCATTTGGACAACGTGTATACCTGATTACTAAGTAATCAATTTTTTTTTGCACCAGATTTTAAGCGCGCTTAAGTGATGTCAATACCGCCGTATATGATACCGCCGAATGCGTGGGCTGCCCAGTTGATGGCCCAGCAGGCTTATGCGGCAGCGCAGGCACAGCATCAACTGCACGCGCAGCAGCAAATGGCCAACCAGATACAGCAAATTCCTCCGCCGGGTACACCTCTACCGCCTCCAGGAGGGATGAACGCGGGTGGTATGCCAGCACCGGCAGGACCTCCGCAGCCTCTGGGACATATTCCAGCTCCCAAGTCTGACATAATGACAGAGGAAAAACTGCAAGAAAAGGCGATGAAATGGCAGCATTTACAATCCAAACGCTTTGCGGAAAAACGTAAATTCGGATTCGTTGACACACAGAAAGAGGATATGCCGCCAGAGCACATTCGAAAAATAATCAGGGATCACGGCGATATGACATCCCGCAAGTATCGACACGACAAGCGCGTCTATCTAGGTGCCCTGAAATACATGCCTCACGCAGTGCTTAAATTGCTGGAGAACATGCCCATGCCTTGGGAGCAGATCCGGGATGTGCAGGTGTTGTATCATATTACCGGCGCTATCACGTTTGTCAATGAAATACCTTGGGTTATTGAACCCGTCTACATTGCGCAATGGGGGTAAGAAAAACAAATAATCTTTGACAAAATTTGGTTTTCCAATGTCATACAACATTACAGTACAATGTGGATTATGATGCGCCGTGAAAAGCGCGATCGTCGCCATTTTAAGCGTATGAGGTTCCCGCCATTCGACGATGAAGAACCTCCATTAGATTATGCCGACAATGTGTTGGATGTTGAACCACTGGAAGCAATACAAATTGAGTTAGATAACGACGAAGACAATGCCGTTTACAAATGGTTCTATGATCATCGTCCATTGGTTGATACGCCGTAAGTATAATTCGAATAGATGCCATTTTATTTTTGTTTTTTATAGTTTCGTGTTTTTATAGCTATGTAAATGGATCAACCTACCGCAAGTGGAATCTATCGTTGCCACAACTTGCTACACTCTACCGATTAGCTAATCAATTGCTTACTGATTTGGTTGACAATAACTTCTTCTATCTATTTGATCCGAAGAGCTTCTTTACTGCAAAGGCGCTTAATATGGCCATTCCTGGTGGGCCTAAATTTGAGCCGCTGATAAAAGATCATAATGTCGGGTATGTTCCAATAATCCCTTTTATCTAAATTTTATTAAGCCGTAAATTAAAACTTGTTCATTGCAGTGACGAGGACTGGAACGAGTTTAACGATATAAACAAGGTGATCATACGTCAGCCCATTCGCACGGAGTATCGCATTGCGTTCCCCTATCTCTACAATAACATGCCCCATTTTGTTCATCTGAGCTGGTGAGATCTATATTTCAATAATTGATAGGGGCTTACACCGCAAAGTAGAGTTTCCAACGCACTAGTTTTATTGGCAACTTTTCAGGCTGTGTTATAGTAAAACACACTTCCTGTTTACTACGAACTAGCGATAGTTTTTCTTTAATTTTTTGGAAGCTGCAATGAAAATGTTCGTTACGATTGGGAAGATTAAATCGTAGCTGCTGATAGTTGCATACACTGCAGATAAAAGTTTCTAACTTCTGAATATGGGTTAAATGTAGCCAATGTTTTTTTTAATAATAAGCCCTTTCCTATTTCCAGGTACCACACTCCAAACGTGGTCTATATCAAGACCGAAGATCCGGATTTGCCAGCATTCTACTTTGATCCCCTTATTAATCCCATATCCCATCGCAATGCAAACTCCAAACAACCAGAGCCTTTGCCCGATGACGATGAAGAATTTACGTTACCGGACGATGTGCAACCGTTCCTGCAGGATACGCCGCTCTACACTGACAATACGGCCAACGGCATCGCATTGCTTTGGGCACCGAGACCATTTAATATGCGATCGGGACGTTCTCGTCGTGCCATCGATGTACCCTTGGTCAAGTGTTGGTATAAGGAACATTGCCCCCCGGGTCATCCAGTTAAAGTGCGTGTCAGCTACCAAAAGTTGCTCAAATATTATGTTCTGAATGCCCTGAAGCATCGGAAGCCCAAGCCTCAAAAGAAACGGTGTGTTAGTTATCACATTCTATTTCCGTTTCGTATCTAAGCTTTATTCTTTTTCCGCTCGGTCAGCTATCTTTTCCGCTCGTTCAAGGCTACCAAGTTCTTTCAGACAACCACATTGGATTGGGTTGAAGCCGGACTTCAAGTTTGCCGTCAGGGGTACAACATGCTGAATCTGCTTATACATCGCAAGAATCTGAATTATTTGCATTTGGATTACAATTTTAATTTGAAGCCCGTAAAAACGCTGACTACTAAGGAAAGAAAGAAGTCTCGATTCGGCAATGGTAACACCACTTTCAGGCTTATATTTTATGTTTTTACGAGCAACTAACTCTCCTTCCGACAGCTTTCCATTTGTGCCGTGAGATTCTACGCCTTACCAAACTAATTATCGACTCGCATGTGCAGTATCGCCTAAACAATGTAGACGCTTTTCAACTGGCCGATGGTCTGCAGTACATCTTTGCACATGTTGGTCAACTGACGGGCATGTACCGCTACAAATACAAACTTATGCGTCAAATACGCATGTGCAAGGATTTGAAACATTTGATCTACTATCGTTTCAACACCGGACCTGTGGGCAAAGGGCCTGGTTGCGGCTTCTGGGCTCCAGGCTGGCGTGTGTGGCTATTTTTCATGCGTGGAATTACACCTCTTTTGGAGAGATGGTTGGGCAATTTACTGTCCCGCCAATTTGAGGGTCGTCACTCGAAGGGTGTGGCGAAGACAGTAACCAAACAGCGTGTTGAGTCACATTTCGACTTGGAGTTGCGTGCTTCGGTTATGCACGACATTGTGGACATGATGCCCGAGGGTATCAAGCAGAATAAGGCGCGTACCATTCTGCAGCATTTGTCGGAGGCGTGGCGCTGCTGGAAGGCTAATATACCCTGGAAGGTACCCGGTCTACCGATTCCAATTGAAAATATGATTCTGCGTTATGTAAAAATGAAGGCCGATTGGTGGACAAACACCGCGCACTACAATCGAGAACGTATTCGGCGAGGCGCCACCGTCGATAAGACTGTTTGCAAGAAGAATTTAGGACGTTTGACTCGCTTGTATTTGAAGGCAGAGCAGGAGCGACAACACAACTATTTAAAAGACGGTCCTTACATATCTCCTGAAGAGGCAGTGGCTATATACACGACAACAGTGCATTGGTTGGAGTCGCGCCGCTTTGCGCCAATACCCTTCCCACCGCTTTCCTATAAGCACGATACAAAACTGTTGATTCTGGCGTTGGAGCGCCTCAAAGAGGCGTACAGTGTAAAATCGCGTCTAAACCAAAGCCAACGCGAGGAATTGGGCCTCATTGAACAAGCGTATGACAATCCCCACGAGGCGCTGTCACGTATCAAGCGTCATCTCTTGACGCAGCGAGCCTTTAAGGAGGTGAGTTTCGATTCCTTGTGAGTGAGATTCTAATACCTAATTATTGATTGAAATATTTCTAGGTGGGCATCGAGTTTATGGACTTGTATAGTCATCTGATACCCGTCTACGAAGTAGAACCTCTTGAAAAAATCACTGATGCGTATTTGGATCAATATCTTTGGTATGAGGCGGACAAGCGACGCCTGTTTCCACCCTGGATTAAGCCCAGCGATACAGAACCGCCACCACTTTTGGCCTACAAATGGTGCCAAGGTACAAACATAAAACCTCGTCTATAGTAATAGTGATAAATTAGTCCAAACGTTTGTGCAGGGTTAGGGTGTGATTTGTGGCAAAGTGATAGGTATTTGATGATCCCCTTGTTGCAAACCTCACGCTAAAGATGCACACAAACAACAAACAGCTTATTAGCTAGCTATAAACTATTTAATCGTTGACTTATATAAATAACGAACTTTTCCTTTTTATTAGGCATTAACAATCTGCAGGATGTGTGGGATGTCGGTGAGGGTGAATGCAATGTTCTCCTGGAGTCACGGTTCGAGAAACTGTACGAAAAAATCGATTTAACATTGCTAAATCGTCTGTTGCGTTTGATTGTGGACCACAACATTGCCGATTATATGACGGCTAAAAATAACGTGGTCATCAATTACAAGGATATGAATCATACGAACAGTTATGGCATTATACGCGGTCTACAGTTTTCATCGTTTATAACACAGTACTATGGATTGGTGCTTGATTTGCTTGTACTGGGCCTGCATCGTTCCAGCGAAATGGCTGGACCCCCACAAATGCCGAACGATTTTCTCACATTCCAGGACGCAGTTACTGAAACAGCACATCCAATTCGTCTTTATTGCCGATACGTGGATCGCATTCACTTGTTCTTCAGATTTTCAGCCGAAGAGGCACGTGATTTAATTCAACGCTACTTGACGGAGCATCCTGATCCGAATAATGAGAACATTGTGGGTTATAATAACAAGAAATGCTGGCCAAGAGATGCACGCATGCGTTTAATGAAGCACGATGTTAATCTGTGAGTTTTGTGTTGCCTATCTATTTAATTAGAATATGAAATAACAGATGCTATTAATATTTTTAGGGGACGCGCTGTTTTCTGGGACATCAAAAATCGTTTGCCTCGTTCAGTTACCACAATTGGTTGGGAGAACACATTCGTATCGGTCTATTCAAAGGACAATCCAAATTTACTTTTCAATATGAGTGGTTTCGAATGCCGCATTTTGCCAAAGGTTCCTTAATTCCCAAATGCTTCATTAAGTTCATGTTAATAATTGTAATCTTTATTCAAATGTTTTCAGTGCCGCACACAAAACGAAGAATTCACACATCGTGATGGTGTCTGGAATTTGCAAAACGAAATAACCAAAGAGCGTACCGCTCAGTGTTTCCTGCGCGTGGATGACGAGTCTTTGGGCCGTTTCCACAATCGTGTGCGTCAGATTTTGATGGCTTCGGGCTCAACAACCTTTACAAAGGTATTTATGATCGAGCTGATCATACCATTTTATTGTTTGGCTGATTTTCAATTTGTTTATTAGATTGTTAACAAATGGAACACGGCGCTGATAGGACTGATGACGTATTTCCGAGAGGCGGTTGTCAATACACAAGAATTGCTGGATCTGCTAGTGAAGTGCGAGAACAAGATTCAAACTCGTATAAAGATCGGCTTGAACTCGAAAATGCCTTCGCGTTTCCCACCTGTAGTATTCTATACACCAAAAGAACTCGGTGGTCTTGGCATGTTGAGCATGGGCCACGTGTTGATTCCACAATCAGATTTGCGTTGGTCGAAACAAACAGATGTGGGCATTACTCATTTCCGGTCTGGTAAGTCCATGGTTTTTTATCAAAATAAAAAGGCTTGTGTAGCTTATAAAAAACTTTTTCAGGTATGTCGCACGATGAGGATCAATTGATTCCGAATCTATACCGCTACATACAGCCGTGGGAGAGTGAGTTTATAGACTCGCAGCGAGTGTGGGCAGAGTATGCGCTGAAGCGTCAAGAGGCCAACGCACAAAATCGGCGCCTTACATTGGAAGATCTGGAGGATAGCTGGGATCGCGGCATACCGCGCATCAACACACTCTTCCAGAAGGATCGTCACACACTCGCTTACGACAAAGGCTGGCGCATCCGCACCGAATTCAAACAGTACCAGGTTCTGAAGCAGAATCCATTCTGGTGGACACACCAACGGCACGACGGTAAATTGTGGAACCTGAACAATTATCGTACAGACATGATACAGGCTCTAGGTGGCGTTGAGGGTATTTTGGAGCATACATTATTTAAGGGAACCTATTTCCCCACATGGGAGGGTCTCTTCTGGGAGAAGGCATCTGGCTTCGAGGAGTCCATGAAGTACAAAAAGCTTACAAATGCTCAGCGTTCCGGTCTCAATCAGATACCGAATCGTCGCTTCACACTATGGTGGTCACCAACGATTAACCGCGCTAACGTTTACGTGGGTTTCCAGGTGCAACTCGATTTGACGGGTATTTTCATGCACGGCAAAATTCCAACTCTGAAGATATCACTGATTCAAATATTCAGAGCTCACTTGTGGCAGAAAATCCATGAATCTATTGTGATGGATTTGTGTCAAGTATTTGATCAGGAACTGGATGCCTTGGAAATTGAAACTGTGCAAAAGGAAACGATTCATCCGCGTAAGTCATACAAAATGAACTCGTCGTGTGCCGATATTCTGCTCTTCCCTGCCTACAAATGGAATGTGTCGCGCCCGTCTCTGCTAGCTGACACAAAGGACACAATGGACAATACTACAACGCAAAAATATTGGCTTGACATACAGCTACGTTGGGGTGACTACGATTCGCACGATGTGGAACGCTATGCTCGAGCCAAGTTCCTTGACTATACGACAGATAACATGTCCATATATCCGTCTCCAACTGGAGTTCTCATTGCCATTGATTTGGCGTACAATCTTCATTCGGCTTATGGCAATTGGTTCCCGGGTTGCAAAACCCTCATTCAGCAGGCCATGGCCAAGATAATGAAAGCCAATCCGGCCCTCTATGTATTGCGTGAACGCATTCGCAAGGCCTTACAATTGTACTCTTCCGAGCCGACGGAACCGTATCTCAGTTCGCAGAACTACGGTGAACTGTTCTCAAACCAAATAATTTGGTTTGTGGACGATACAAATGTGTATCGTGTAACCATACACAAGACCTTTGAAGGCAATTTAACCACAAAGCCCATAAACGGCGCCATTTTCATATTCAATCCACGTACTGGCCAACTTTTCCTGAAGATTATTCACACGTCCGTGTGGGCCGGACAAAAACGTTTGGGTCAGTTGGCTAAATGGAAGACAGCTGAGGAAGTTGCTGCCTTAATTCGATCGCTACCCGTGGAGGAGCAACCCAAACAGATTATTGTGACCCGTAAGGGTATGTTGGATCCGCTTGAAGTGCATTTGCTTGATTTCCCGAACATTGTCATCAAAGGTTCCGAGCTGCAATTACCTTTCCAGGTAAAATGACACTCTGACTTAAAATTTTGGCCTTAATACTTAATTATTAATTTCTTCGCAGGCTTGTCTCAAAGTGGAGAAGTTTGGTGACTTGATTTTGAAGGCCACAGAACCGCAAATGGTGCTCTTTAACCTCTATGATGACTGGCTCAAAACTATTTCTTCGTACACGGCCTTCAGTCGACTTATCCTGATACTACGTGCACTTCACGTCAACACTGAACGCACTAAGATTATCTTGAAGCCAGATAAGACAACAATTACAGAGGCGCATCATATTTGGCCGACCTTAACTGACGAAGAATGGATAAAGGTTGAAGTCCAACTAAAGGATCTTATTCTTGCTGATTATGGCAAAAAGAACAATGTGAATGTGGCTTCGCTTACACAGTCTGAGATTCGTGATATCATATTGGGTATGGAGATTAGTGCACCATCAGCGCAACGTCAACAGATTGCCGAGATCGAAAAGCAAACCAAGGAGCAGAATCAGCTGACAGCAACAACAACGCGCACGACAAACAAACACGGAGATGAGATTATCACCTCGACGACGTCTAACTACGAAACCCAAACATTCAGTTCGAAGACGGAGTGGCGTGTGCGTGCCATTTCAGCAACTAATTTGCACCTGCGAACAAATCACATTTACGTTAGTTCCGATGACATCAAGGAGACTGGCTACACATACATCCTGCCCAAAAATATCCTTAAGAAATTCGTTACAATATCAGATTTGCGTGCTCAAATCGCCGGATACCTTTATGGTGTTAGTCCGCCAGATAATCCGCAGGTGAAGGAAATACGTTGTATTGTGATGCCACCGCAGTGGGGCACGCATCAGACTATCAACCTGCCGAATACGCTGCCCACGCATCAGTACCTCAAGGACATGGAGCCACTGGGCTGGATACATACGCAACCGAACGAGTTGCCGCAACTTTCCCCGCAGGATATCACAACCCATGCCAAGATCATGCAGGAGAATTCAAATTGGGATGGCGAAAAGACTATTGTCATCACATGCTCATTCACACCCGGATCTTGTTCGCTGACAGCTTACAAACTAACACCGTCCGGCTTCGAATGGGGCTCCAAAAATACAGATAAGGGCAACAACCCTAAGGGTTATCTGCCCTCACACTATGAGCGGGTTCAAATGCTGCTGTCAAACAAATTCCTGGGCTTCTTTATGGTGCCGGCGCAAAGCAGTTGGAACTACAACTTTATGGGTGTGCGACATGATCCCAACATGAAATATGAACTGCAATTGGCTAATCCCAAGGAATTCTATCACGAATTGCATCGCACATCGCATTTCCTGCTTTTCTCAAATCTGGAGGACGGTGGAGATGGCGCCGGTGCTGATCGCGAAGACGTCTACGCGTAGTCGAACATAGACTTTACGGCAAACAAGTAACCTACTTAGCCCACTTATAAGCGTTTTACATATGAACCCCCTTAGGTACATTTTTAATAAAGCCTTCAATTAATTTCAAACCCACGTCCTGCTCTTTACCTTCTCCAAACAATTGGCTATTGTTGCTATGTCAACGATTTTCTGTGCCGGAAGTCATGTCAATCAAGTTAACTGGCTAGCTGGCGGTTCTTCGGCATTTCTGTTATTCCTTTTATTGCTTAACACACATAACAAATAAAAATTTTGTTTACATGTAATATCAATTCAAAAATGGTGAACGATTTCAAGGTACATCTTTTGGTTCCTAGTAGAATTGCTTGCTGGCTTGCTTGCTTGTGGCCTACTTACGAGCACTTCCACAGAACGATGGCCAAGTTACCGGCAAAAAACAAGTAGAGTAAATTTTGGGTTTCGTAGGAGATTTCAAAACCAAAACCTTCTCCGACCACAACATGCCAGTAGATACCAAACTTCTTATCCATCGTCTCTTTTATAATCTTAGCTGCTTGCTGGAATTTCAAATGGGGTTTTATAATGCGTCATAGATATTTAAAAAAAACTTTTCGGCATTTTTGAACTTACTTCATAGTTGGATGAATATTTTTCACAAGCCGTGATGCTCAACTCAATGGCCTCAGTGCGCATTTCCTCATTCATGTCCGAGTACTGAATAGCAAGTTAATAAATGAACTTAAATGAAAAATAAGAATAATAGATTGAACAGACCTTGACCAACGGATAAACGTGTAGGATCTTCTTCTCTGTCTCTTTGCCACCTTCGCCTTCATCACCCATGTCTGTGGCGCTATATTAGTTCCTTCGAATCAGCAACGTAAAGCTGAATGCGCGGCTTTTACTTTTACACCGACACGCGAGCACAACAACTACATGCGCAAAACTAATGTATTAAAAATTGAGTTAAATTCGTATTTTGCTGTGACACAACAAACATGCAAGTCAGGACACAAACCAGTCAAGTCAAGGCTACATTTACATACAGAAAGAATTGTGTTCAAAGAATAGTTTTTTTTTTTTTATTAGTATAGATTGTCAGGTGAATGTTTAGTAATATAAGCACATATACAATATATACAATACATATATATGTATATAATTTTTTTTCCTATTTTCGTCACGCCAAGCACGGTGCTATGGCAATTGTATGGCCTATCAGGACCACGATTTATTTGCGACTGTAGTTCCCAACTCCATTAATGGCACAAGGCAGGCAACCGCAAAAAGCACACACACATGTTAGTTACTTATGTATATCTGTATGTATGTTTTTCTATATATATATTTATTTTTTGTAAGGGTATTAATAGTGAAGAGCGGTGGTGTTGTGTTTGCGCCAAATCTGCACTTAACTTGACTAGAAGGAGTGCAGCACTCCCTTCTTTGCTTGTCCCTGTGCTGTTGCCGACCCTTGCTGTGTGCATCCCTTTAGTGAACAATAACAATTTCCGTGTGGGTGCCAGCAAGTCGGACGCCAGTGCAGACGAAAGACGACCCATCATCGTTGATTTCGTCATCCTGCTGTCCACCCTCATTTACAGATGCAGTCTCCCGATGCTGATTGTTTTTATTTAACGTTAAAATTGGCTTCTAGGACAACGGACAGTCAACGCACTGTTATAGGGGAGGAAAACGTTCAAATATATTTGCAAGTGAATGCAACTTTTTTCGCCGGACCTCCTTAGTAAATCAAGTAATGGATACAAGTTTGGTAGAAATTTACTGATTTATTGTGAAAAATATTTTAAAACGACCTATTATATCCCAGTCACCTCAACATTTTCCTTATCATTTTATTAAGATCTAACGCGTATTTAAAATCTAAATCATACATTTATGGATGGAATTTATATATCTATTTATTGTCAATGAACGATTATTTGTAAATGAAAGTCTTATGTACATTTCCCGCTGCCGTACCTTTGGCGTTTCATTTTTGGTACTCAAATCAATCATGGTATATCTGTCTTATATAATTATACCAGATCCCAGTTCTCCTCAACATCTTCACGTTGCGGTACCTCTTCATAAGACACTTCCGAAGTATCATTGTTGAAACATAAATCATCTTCCTCGTTGTATGGATTTTCTTCTAATATAATGTAGCCATCCTCTACTTTCATATCATTCTCTTCGAGTAATTTTTCTAATATATCTGGAGTGGCACCGAAAGACTGTGTGTGCTGAAGCAGTAGATCCATAGGCATTTTATAAACTTGGTGTTGGATATCAAAATTATCCTCGCTACGCATGCAACGATGTAGTTCATATTCAACTTCTGCCCAAATTTTCTCTTCTACAGTGCGAGTATCCGTGTAGTAAGGAAAATCTACCACTTGAAGGGATTTATATGGTGTAGTAAATTCATCGACAGGTTCGGTTTTCGATGGTAGTGGATCAACCAGGGGCTTGTCAAGCAAGTCCTTACGGACGAATACAGCTATTTGGGAGACATTACCCACCGATTCGAAATCTTTTGGAGGATCACCGACGCCTGTTAGAGACACCAAGTAATTGGGATATTTTTCAACAATATCTAAGCACCACGACTTGAACTCCTCGCGTGTCCACTCAAACTTATGGTCCAAGTGGCGAAAACCATTCTCTAGCAATGGATTAAAACGTGTAAATATCACATTGAAGTCAGAATTGGGAGTACTGAAAATCACAATTTTCGGCTGCATAAAACCAAAAACATTTGCCGGTATTTTGGCCAGCACGTCATCATAGACATGTTCAATTCTGTAAATATTAATGTTAAATTTTTCCCAATATCAGCATATATGCATAAACTCACAGTTCAAGTCCAATTACTACATCCGTGCCACGCAGCTCCTCAGATGAATCTGCTACGCTGCCTTTTAGCACCTCGACGCGCAATGGGCCGCTTCTTTGCCGAATATAGTCAGAAATTAGAGGATTTACACGTGATAAATTATTTTTAAGTAGCTCCTCATCTATGTCGACCTGCAAATAATAAGGCATAACGGCAAATATAAAAATCCAACGAATTTATTTCAAATTTTAGCCGCGAATTAAACACAGCTCCAACGATCTGGCATCACTACGATTCGAAACAAAATGGCCGTGGTTTCGTTCCATGGCGTTAGCGGAACAACAGAAAACGAAACCTTGGCTTGTCACTGTCCGCGAGTGTAGTGTGTGTGTGTTTCAAGCACAGCAGTGCGTGAAGTGTAATTTGTTGGGGAAATTAGTTAATAACAAACAAAAAAGATAGTTAATCCTATTAGTAATAATGAATAAAAGCATTTGTAATCAAATACGCATGCCTGTGCTTTGAAGGTTTGTCCATAACACAACCCCTGAACCGCAGCGAAAATTTTCTTTGCTTGGACAGAAAGAAAACGCGAACATAAGAAGAAGAAAACAAGTAATACGTGAGGAAAATACATACACATACTGAAAAAGTGGCATTCAAATTCAGTTGGATGATCGATTTTTAAGGAATAGTTCTTATGGATTAAACCTGTGGTATTTAGAAGCAGTGAAATTGTGCTTAATTTGTGACCAGACAGCTGCGCCGGCCAGTACAATCGATTTTCTCTACCGCGAGCATTGTGTGCTGTCTGTCGTGTCTGTCTCGCCTATCTGTCGTCGGTAGACATAGTGCCTGGAGCGATTCTGTTTATTAGTGTGTGCGAGCTAAATTGTAAGTTAAGTTTTAAAAAGTGTCATACATTTTTGCAATGAAGACTTTTTTCTAGCCAGTGTGTGGATTTTTCAAATGTGTATTTCACATTTATGTTTTGTTGTGTGTGCATAATTGTTACCAATACAAGTGCAGGCGCTGCATATGTCCATGTTTCCATTCCGTTTTAGCCGACTGTGTTTCTTTCCGCTTGTACCGGGCAATACGATAAGAAACTACGAACACTCATACAGAGAAATACGAAATCGATAAAAAAAAAACAAAATGAAATTCACATAAACAAAAACACAAGTTACAATAGAATCGACGATCTTAAATCTCATGATTTATTAACCTAAACACACTCATAACTGGCATGTATCATAGCTAAAAATAAATGTATCTTCCAATTAGCCTCAACGAATGTCAACAGCAAAGAAAGCACGCGGTGAACAAAGCCACAAAAGAGAACCACACAAAAACATTTTCAAATTCAACGTTCCTTTATGCGCTCAGCGTGAATAACAGACTGAACCAAAAGGATAATAGGGCGTTAACAGCAACAGAAGGTGACACTTGGTGCCAATCATGGGCAAACGCATTGCAGCGGAACGCCAACATTTGACGCCTCCGCACTCCAATTTACATTCGACGGCCCGAAGCATTCGTAAACGGAAGCGCGCTGCTGTAAAAGAATCTGTGGTCGAGGGTAAACGACAGTGCTTAAGCGGTAATAGCGACTGGCATGAGAACGATGATGAGGACTCCTCGTCCTCGAGCTCTGCACACGAGGCACCGACTGCTTTGCTTCAAACCCCACAATGTATTGTCGGCAAGCAGCTTCATAGCTCATTATTGATGAGCGCCGCCAATCTGAACTCTAGTTTCGGAGGTCTTAGTGATTATAACAATTCCAATGCAACCGAGTCGCCGCGACCCATTTATACGTTGCGTCCTTCTGTCGTTAATGGTACCGTATTGAGAGACGTACTATCAAAGCCTTGGCGTTTGGGCAGACCTATTGGTATGAATATTAATAAATTAAAACCCTTACATCTAATAATAATATATTCATTTAGGCAAAGGAAATTTCGGTGAAATATTTTTAGCTTCGGACGATGCCCTCTGTCCCGTTTCTTCCGAGACCGCTAAATATGTGGTCAAAATAGAGCCGCATTCAAATGGTCCACTGTTTGTTGAAATACACTGTTTGATAAACACCAGTCAAGTGAAAGGTGAGTGCAAATAATAATAAGCTGAGTTTGTCTGACTAAAAGGGTTGTTTTTTCTTAGATAATAAAAACAGCACGGAGCAAGTTATTGACACAACAACCCCCAAAATTAGCAACACACCGCCTTCCGGCATTCCCAGCTACATTGCCTCTGGCACCCACTACTTTGGTGATGCCAGGTATCGTTTCTTGGTGCTTCCGCGCTTTGACCGTGACCTACACTCGTTAATCAAAAACTCGCGCGTGGCTCAGAAATCTTTGCTACTGCTGGCCATTCATATTATTAATGTGTTGGAGCATTTGCATGACAAAGGTTACTGCCACAATGACATTAAAGCGCAGAATTTGATGATTTCGAAGTGTAAATACCTCAAGAAGCAGGCGATTACGTCCAACGGTAATGACACAAAAACTTATGACGATCATTATGAAGAAAGACAACAGACCACAGACAGCGGCAACAGTTCCGAACAAGAGGCCAATGACGACGATTATTATATCAAGGACGAAAAGTTCGCGCTAAAGCGTGTTGTTGACGATGATGACCTGGAGGACGAGGACTTTGACGACGGAGCAACTACAAATAGCAACAATAGCAACAGCCTGGACATGTACCAGACACCAGTGAACAAAAATAAAAAGCGACGGAACCGCTTGAATGCAATTGAGTACAGCGGTTCTAATCCGGTACGTTCGTGTCGGCGCGAGAAGAGAAACTCAATGTATGAAGAGATGGTAAAGTCACATTACTTGCGCCCAGCAAAACGTATTAGCTATATAGAATTCTTCAACGAGGACGGCTTCTCAGTTAAGGCCGATGCCAATAGTGAGCAGTCGCCAGTCACCTCAGAGAATGAATCGGAAGAATTTGTTCCGCCCTCGGCACGTCGTTCGGCTGCCGCATCCCAAAAGAGATTAGCAAATTCAGCCTGCGCCATTTCTACACGTGCAACTCGCCGTCAAGGGAAACTGATGCGTGTCACGAATAGAAGCAGCGGCGTCAACGGCAGCCAAAGCAGTAGGAGCAAACGTAGTGGCGCTGCGCTGAGCAACGCCGTAGCAGCAGCAGTGACGCCAACTCAGTATCAGTATGTGACCGTCGAAGAAGAGCACATATTTCTAATCGATTTCGGATTGGCTTCCAAATATCAAGACCACGGTGTGCATCGCCCTTTCATTATGGACCAGCGGCGAGCACATGATGGCACCTTGGAGTTTACATCACGCGATGCCCATTTGGGCGCACATTCGCGTCGCAGCGACCTTGAGTGTTTGGGCTATAACCTACTTTATTGGTCGGAGGGCTATCTACCTTGGAAAGATGTGGCGCAACAGCAGCAACCGGAAAAAGTACATCGCGCCAAGGAGCTGTTCATGACGGACGTGCGCGAAATGCTGCGCCAGTTTTATGGAAAGCAGGTTCCTAAGTATTTGGGTGAATTTTTGCAGCAAATCGGTCAGCTCGCTTATCAGGAAAGGCCAAACTACAAGCGGTATCGAAACCTATTTAAGCGAGAGTATCAGCGCCTAGGCTACGACGTCAATAACATGTGCCTCAACAGCGATGAAATTTCGCACACTTCCGTTTACGTAAAGGATGAGGTAGATGGCATCAACGCCAAATGCGACATATTCGAGCTGAACAACAAATTAGCTATAAACGCAATGAGAAACTCTACCCTGAGCACTCCCTTTCAAGAGCATTCATTTACAAATCGCGTATCGCCGAAGAATCTGCGTTCGAAGTCCGACAAGAAAAGCCTTAAAAAGAAGAAGTTCTCCTGGGCAGAGGTACTTTCGCAGGATCCTGATCAGATTGCACGCGAACGTGCTGTGAAGGAGTTTGAGCGGGAGGAGGTTATTTGTCCCTTACAGTCACGCCTCCCTCGAAGATATGAAGGTAAGCCAACATATGCGATTCTAGCAGTTGAGCAGAGTCGTCGCGACAAGGGACTAGCAGTGCAGGAACACAACGAAGAGGAAGCAGATGCAGAGGAAGATGAGCAGGATCGAGATTCGGAGGAGGAGGGTGACGATGTACCTAGTGATGATGACCAAACTGAAGAAGATAATGAGGATGTAAGTTCTATTATTTTTATATAAATTATATTCTAATAAATAAACTTTATTTTAGGATGAAACCGATAGCAATTCACATTCAGAGGCGGTAACTAGAAAAAATCGAGGAAGCTCCAGAACCGGTAAACGAAAGCAAAGCCCTACACAACCGGCATTTTCCACAAATACAAACCCACGGCCACGCGGCAGACCAGTGGGATCGACTGCCAAGCTTGCCACCAAATCTTCTAAGCCGTTATCAACAGTCGCCAGCAACAACAAACGTGGCTGCGCCACACGCAAAGATCATGCTACTTTGGCCTCTGCCACTGGAGAAATTGAACAACACAAACGGAATGGTGCCAACTCCACCGCCGAGCTGAAATCTCGCCGGGAAAAAGGCCAACCACGACAGAGACGAACGCGTCGTTGTCTACATAAGACTGAATCACTAATGAGGGGCGAACAAGATGTTGAAAACAACTCTAACTTTGAGACGGACATGAAGAGTTTGTACGGCGTTTGGGCAAAATACGATGATGAGAACAGCTATGGCAAGGGGCGCCATGTTAACTCATCCAGGCATTGTCGCAAGTGATACTTTGGTAGCCGCAACAGGTCCCAATGTAAAATTGAGCAAACAAACTATATTTCATTACAAACTTATATTCAGCGTTTCAAGTATTTTTAGTATCCCATAAGAAAGGTTTATAAAAGGCAGAAGAAGCTTTTTAAGTCTGGTATTCTGTTTCCAGGCAACATCGGTATGCCCAAAAAAAAAAAAAGAATTCAAATAACAACATAAAGAAAGAAGAAAAGTAAGGAAAACTACTTATGAATATTTACGACATAGAATAAAATATGAGTTTACTGCTTTTGATCACTAACGATTTGTACTTTCTGTTTTTTAAACTTCTAAGGCGCCCTAGTTTTATATTTTGTTGTAATTTTGTTTGAGTTCGAAGCTCAATGTTACCATGAAGAGTTGTTAAAGTAGGCAGTCTGGGCGCTGCAGCCCACTGTAAACGATGTAAGCGTTCGGCTTTTGCTTCTATTTGCCTTTATAGTAAATGTTTGTTTGCTTCATATTATTGATTTTTAGTTACTCTTTTTAAAATTTAATGACCCATTATATGTAAAAGGTACCATAAACAACAAAGTATTTAATATAAATAGATGAAGATTAATGCGTAAATATATTATTTAAGTCTAAGTTAGGTTATATAACTGCAGAATAAATAAAGTAGAATCTTATGTCCTTAAAATATACCCAAAAAATGAGAATATTTCATTTCGACGACTCGTATAGTTGATTTTTTCGTATTTTTAGTGAAGCACCCGATGGAAGCGAGACTGACTTAGAGAATTATATGGATATTATCTAGGATAAATTATATATGTATGTATGCATATGTGTGCATATATGTGTGTATTTACAACTGTAAATTAACAGTGCCAGCCCTTTATCCCCTATTCAGAATGCCTTAGATACAGACCTGTAATATATGTTCTATGGTTTCAATACGTCGCATTAAATTAAACAAACGCATTTCGGCACAACCAAACTCCACAACCTGCAAAAAATATTAAATTAGGAAAAAAGAAACAGCATAAAGAAAATGGACTTGCCTTTTTTATTTGCTTAGTCCAACGTGGGTCTTCCAAAATTTGAATAGCGTAGCAGTAACGCTGCTCGTAGACTGGCGGGTCGAATGTAATTTTTTCGTTCGTCATTGTTGTGACTGTTTTAAAGCCACCACATGGCAGAGTATATGAAAACATTGCATACAATTTATTTAAATAAACGGTTTAAACCTGATTAATTGGAAGAAGAAAGCTTTCGCTCTATTTTAAACTTTACTAATTTCGGGCTTTTGCTAGTTTGTTTTCGTTTTCAATAAAGAATGCCGTACTAGAGATGTTACAGAACGCTTTTTCGATAAATTAGGGTCGATAGCACTCGTGATTTATCGAGCTTCTTGTTCCAAATCGATACCAAATTGAGCGTTATTTTTAAATGGACACGGTCCTGCAAATGACTTCTTTCTTTACGGCATGTGTATAAATATTTTATGCAATTAGTTTAAGGGGGTCTGATTTATTATTTAAAGTAGGATTAAGTAAATATATTAAATAACTAAGGAGTAAATATACAGGCGACATTGTTAATATACATGTATTAGCAATTAATTGATATAATTTCATAATCTGAATAATCTGCGAGAAATTTATTCAAACAGCTGTACAAATGTAGTCTAAATGATTAAACTTAGCAAAATGTTCCAAGTTTAAGTCCAGTGTATTAAACCTTGAACTTTCCGTAATCTATTGTTTCTATCCACTTTTAGAAGAAGTCGTATTTTGATTTGAAATGGGTATATTGCAAATCAAAATAAGTTACAGTAATATCGTCAGTACTATTTATAATCGTATTTTAATAACCTCTGCTTGAATTGTCAAATTGTTTATGTAAATAGCGGCAACAATATTAATTTGAGCTACAGAAACCATTGATATGTATGTGTTTCGAAACTGAAGCTGAGGTATATAAAATAATTAATGTGAGTATTGCCATGAACAAAATAAGTATTAAGTCGATTTCATTTGATTTGCATCTGGGATTACAGATTTTTAATGGTTTAACCGCTCCTTCTCACACTTTTTCTTCAGCGAAGCTCCATCAGAATCCTTCTCTTTTATTTTTGATTAGTCGTGTGTTTTTAATATGAACGTGCAAATGAATGTCTGCACGATGATCTGCAGCAGAGCTATATGTATATTACCTACTTTGATTGTATATAACAAAACATATTTGGGCTATCTGCTTCCTTTATGAAGGACCTAATTAAAATGTAGCTTTGAGTGAAAGAAAACTTTTTTGTATTGCCTTCTTTTTATTTTGAAGCTTTTAGTGGCTATTATTTTGTTGGCTGCCTTAAAAAGGTTAAACGTTCAGAGCCGTACATAAACTCAGTGTTTTGTTTTTGGTCACTTTTTGGGCCTTCGGGTTATTGGTGCGGCTTCTGCTATTGCTGCCTCTGTGTTACCCAAACGAACAAGCAACCAAGTAGTCGAAAATGCCCTTGTTTTGGCAGCATCCAAAAGCAAAGCCTAAACATTGTTTGACCCTCATTACGTTCAACATTTACTTTTTTCTTTGCTGGCACAAACACGAACACGAGCAGCAAACACATTAAAGATGTTCAACTTGAAGGCAAAACATAACAGAAAACAACCAAAAGGTTGGAAGCAGTAATTCGGTCCAGTTGACTCGAGGAGTCGACATAAAATGGATAAAAAAGGGTACTTCACCTTTGTAAGACTGTAAGTAACAGAGTACATTCTTTGCACGCCCAGAAAAATAATCTTAAAGAATATGCAGCTCACAAGTGAGGATTTTTATTCTGATGATTATTGCAAGTTGCATAAAAAGCTTTCTATATGGTTTTCCGTAACCGTAGTGGTTGGATTATGATTCTTTAGATTCTAGCCTTCTTACTCTGAGAGCTTATAAGAAAAATAAAACGCCAAGGAGAGGCACAGCATTTTTGCTGAGCAATATTGGAATGTACAAAAATGGTTTTGATTTCGTTTGTTATCGTGGAAATAACATTTAAGATCCTTATAGAATTTGCTGTTGTTGAGTTGGTTTTCTCAAATAACAATTTGTTGAATTTTCGATAAACCTACGCTTTTTCAATTCCACTTTTAGGTAGTGAATAAGATGTCAGTGTTTTAAAGGTGAGCTGTTTTTGGCGGACGTGGGACTATAGTCGAATATAAATTAACTTTATTTCTTGTCAGTTGGGTATGTGCACACACGAAAACAAACAAATTCGTTGAAGAACAACAACTTGTGTGGCGTCAATGACAGAGACAGGTGAACCGGGGATTAACAGAGGGTGCGGAGTGGGGGAAATGAAAATGTAGTAAAAACTTGGCATAACGCTTAGAAAATTATGCAAAAATAAACAGGAAAGGCAAAGTGCGATGAGTATATGGAGAAAAAGTGCGATAAAAGCGCTTTTACGCGTTTTCTTTTCTCTGTTTTCAAGGTGATTATCCATAATCCCCAAAAAGCAGCAGCGACGTTCTGACAGCCCCCCTGGAGCGGTGTGGTATCTGGGGGTGGGTTGGGGTGGTGCCGGGCAGACCGTCTTGAATGACTAAAGACAAAGTTGGTCTGTGACGTTGGCAAACGAATTCACGAAGATGGATGCGAACCACCCAATGCTGAACACGACTCTGGTATCAGTTTGGCGTCTGCCTGGCAGTCTTCTTCTGTTTGCCTTCCTTCTTCGCCTCTGCTTCATCTATGTATGTATGTGCCCGTGTTCGCCAGGTACGAGCTTAAAGCGTTAATATTTGTAGCTGCTCAAAATTTGTATGCTGCTGACTGACGATAAAACATCTTTGGGTGACAATGAAACGTAGATAAAGCATTTTTCGCGTTGCCGTTGGCAAATAAAGTGCCGCCAGCGGCTGTCTGCGTGGGTGTGTGTGTGTGTCGTTGCGGCTTGTTTTCGTCGCAGATTTCGCATAAATTATGCACGAACTTTGGCCAAACGGACATCACTTGGTACTCTCAGGTACGTGAATTCGGCGACGCTCTAAAGTAGACTATATTTTTTTAAACAAATTGCAAATGTCTGCGTTCTGCGTTTAGGCACCGTGCATAGTTGGCTTCAGGGACAAAGCGGCCGGGACAGGTCCGTGGAATGCGATTGTTGTATTTGGTTTTGAGGTACACATTTGTCTGTTCTAATTTAGATGTTGTTTGTATGACCGCAATGGGGGCGCAACAAATGTGCCTAAAATATGCAACATATTGAAATTGTCGAAAAATAAAAAGCTTGCGAGATTTTAGTCTAGTGCGGTATACTATTTTCATTCTGCATTCACCTCTCATTTCTTTATGTGGTAGTCATTTTTTATATTTTGTATTATAGTGTCCAATCCATACAAATAAAAATGTGTTTCTTTTAAAGTCTTTTAATTTTACAGCAATTATTCAATATATGGTAAGTAATTTTAATTTGGAACTACAAGTTAAATAAAAAAAGAAAAATCAAGAATTTTAAAAATTCAAATGAGTGAGTGAATAAAATTATTTTTATCATCATGAACTATGTGGCACTTTGGCACTCCTCTTATATTGCGTTTTATACAACCAAAATGATTATTCTATGTACATATGTATCTAGGGTATACAATATCCACTTAATTTGCATTTGAACATTTTGAACTACGCATAACTCTGTTTAGCCATGAGTTTGTGTGTATATAGTGGTTGCAAACCACAGAAATCCATTTGCATCTGAACATGATTAAAATTCGTTTTATAATCTTGGGTTATCAATGAATTTCTCGGCTCTTCTTGCATGGTTTACGGGCCCTATGCGTGTTGTTCGCACATCCACATAATATCCGATGGGAACCGCAAAGCTGGCAAAGCTAGCAAAGCCCGAGCTCGAGCTCGAGCAGCATCCCCACACTCATAATCAAATAAAAAACCATTTCGCAGTGCATTTGACTGGAAGACCGCAAAACCAATTCATCATCTCCAGCAATGGACACGACAACGTTGTTCGTTGTTCGCCGTGCTGGGACATGCCTGGTATTGGAGCTGCGGCCAATGCAAACAGCTACCGACCAGTTGTGGCTTCGACGACTGAAAAGCATTTACGCAAATGGAATAACATTCATGTTTGCTCGCTTGGGCATACATCTGTGTGTGATGAGCGAGCCACACACCTCTAACCACACCCATTGAACGCTCATCCGTGAATTTGCACTTTCACCTTTAGACGTGTTGCTATAGCAGCACAGCAGAGGTCGACCTGCTGGGCAACTACTTGGAAAAAGTTCCATGGCCAAGTACCTGCATGTGATATTTGTTCAACTCATGCTTCTTTGTGATGCATTTCATATGGCAGTACAAAAATATGAAGCAGTAGTAAAACCATGAATTTTGCAGTTGCTCAAAAGCCTTAAATGGGTTCCAAAAATAGGCTGACAGTTGTTCACCCATAAGGCGTCATGTGCAGCAGTCCAGCAAAAGCAGGAAACTATGTAGATGTGTATGTACAAACTGTCACTTGGCTTTACAGAGTCGTTCGGGAGTTTAATTGGTAAGCCATCCCCATAAAAGTTAGAAAGCATTGTAGTTGAAAATATTTATTTATTATAGGAATTACGACATTTTTTTTATTGACACAACACGTTGAATATTTTTTTTTCCATCAACAAATATACACACGTGAAGCTAATTTAGCTTTTTGAGCCTCCTGGAATAAATCATATTCAATGAGTAAATTAAAACTATTCCACCACAATCGGAGCGTTTGTAACTGGCCAGAAACGGTGAAGTCAGTTTTTGTCTCTTCTACCCAGTGTTTTCCCGATAATTGGGTAAAGCACTTAAGCAATAAACTTTTATAATTTGTTACTAAGAAACAAGCAATGCCACTCACCTTGATTTTCTAAAATCGTTCAAAAAACTCATCTGGAATCGCAAAAAAAAAAATCAATAAACAGAAAACATTTTTCTAAGAATTCCATTCAGAGCAAAACTTTTGTTCAAATTCAGGAATAACTTGCATTGTGGGGATTGCATTGGTGTGTCGTGAAAGTTCAGTTTGAAGAAGAAATTAAGCCAATTACGAAAGTCGTTGTTATTATTCTAACAAATTTTATTAAGCTAACAAAACATTTGCAAAAATGGCATCGCTGTAAATAATTTCAGAGAAATAAACTACAATGTTTAGCACGAATCAGCATAGAATGTCTCTCTTTGAATTTGAGTAGCCTAATATAAAGTAG